TTCATCCACCCACCCATCCATCCATCCATCCATCCATCCATCCATCCATCCATCCATCCATCCATCCATCCATCCATCCATCCATCCATCCATCCATCCATCCACCCATCCCTCCCTCAATCCATCCATCCATTCATCCTTCATCCAGTCATTCTCACCTTGACGAAACAGTCGTTGAGTTAGAGGTTGTGTTGGATGGAGTTCTGCAGCGGCGCTTGTTCCGTTTCATCTAAATACCCGTTCTTTTGTTCGTTCATTCTCTCACTCACTCACTCACACACACATGCATCCATCCATTCGCCATTCATTCATTCACCCAATCCATCCATCCTTTCAGTGATCCATTCTTACCTTGACGAAGCAGTCGTTGAGCGACAGGTTGTGGCGGATGGAGTTCTGCCAGCGGCGCTTGTTGCGCCGGAAGTACGGGAAGGTCCGCTCGATGAACGCGTAGATGCCGGTGAGCGGCAGCGCCCCTAGCGGCGAGCTGCGCAACGCCATCACGATCAGCGCGATGTACGAGTAGGGCGGCTTCGCGTCGCTGTCCTGAGAATATGGTAAACATTATGATAAATATGAGAATAATGTTTCAGCAATAGAAACTTCACCAATAATAGAAAAAGCGCATTCTCACCCATTTTGTTTCTTCTAAGGTAAATAAGTTTCACAGTACATGTGTGTTCGTCGTCCGTAGTTTTATATAGCAATAGATGTCTTGTACATTTGTTGTGCAATAAAGTCTTTTTCATGATATTTAGAAAAATAAGAAAAGAACATGATTTCTAAGCTTTACTTCGAAGCTTCATATTATGGCGTGTTCTTCTGATACTGGTGCAGTTTTGAGAAAAAATCAAACCCCTGGGAAAAAAGTATAGCAAAGTACTTGGCATTCACTTGGAGATTTCTAGTATCTTTTATAGACGATTGTTACGAAAATGATTAGAATCAAGCATCACTGAATGGGATAACTGTGCTTGATCACAGCCTTCAGTCGGAAATACTTCAATATCACCCATAGTTTTATTTCCTAAGCAGCTTTTTAATAGATCTCATGAACAATTCTAAATCTTCTTGCCTTGGAGGTTGATTTGAACAAACATTACAATACACATCGCCAAGTGTCGAACAATAGTGCAGTCAAAACACGCACAGTACACATCTCAATACACATCCACAGAATCTAATTACTGTATTACTACCGGAAGAAATACAATATTATACGTGTACCGATAATCTTATATGTTACTTATATCATATACATCCCTTTACATTAAAATCACATGAATGAAGCTTTGAATCTTTCTGCTTAGAACACTGAAACTGAAGGGAGCTAAATTTGTGCGTCTTTAGTTTGGCTTGGCTCAGTGAATTTGCTGTGCTTGAATGCAGAACTTGGGAACCTCCACATTCGACAGCATGGGTATTTGGTCTAAAACTGAGTACTAGCTCGGCTTTGTATATGGCCGGCCGTTGTATAGTTTTTTGTTAGATCGTACACGTGAATTACTTGGACTGAAGGGTAATGGCAAACGCACGTCGACCTTAGCCTCCATACTATACCATAGCATGCCAAAATTTGTGGGGTCTTCGTGGTCTTTGGGAGCTTTTATGTGCTATTTTCTGATTGCATGTAGACAGCATAGCCAACCTGGTTGAATTACCCCCGTTTTTGAACTGGGCTGATCAGAAAACAGCCGAAGACCACCAAACCCCCAGTTCTATAAGTCTGCTACGTAGGCTATTTAACCTCCTTGACCTGCTATATGCTACCCTGGGTGCCAGCCAAGTTTACAGGCCGCTAACCGTAATAGCTCCAAGCAGATCATACGGTGGCAAGGCAGTATCCATTGGCCAGAGGAGTGTCCATTAGCCACGGTGGCTAATGGACACTCCTCTGGCCAATGGATACTGCCTTGCCACCGTATGATCTGCTTGGAGATTACTTGGAGTGTTGCCCGCCCGGCCCATGGTAAACTCCCCTTGTTTATCCATGGAGTTAGAATGGTTTTTCCACTGGTCGAAATTTGCTTAGAGATTTGATTTTTCACTTGTATACAATGTTTAGGATATGTTGTAAAAGACATATCATTCATTTCAGAAGTGACACAATGATACAACGTGTTCATACCTAGTTTTGCTCACAAACCACGTGCACGAAGGTGTGATTTTTTACCTCCATGCCCAAACCAGGGATTTGTGGTTAACACGTACTGACTAATCCATTCGTCATTGCGAGGCGGGGTGCCTGTCTTACCAGACAATAGAAACCGCTGACCGTCGCAGTTAGCAGTTTTCCCTGTGTCAATGTGTGCATAGCTGGATGCACGGAAGGCGGCGTTCATTTACATACACATCGAATTCCTACAATGTCAAGTACTAGTAAATGGTGTCCTTCTAGTGCTCTTAAAACATCCACATTCAACTCACTCTTACCCTAGGGACATTTTCTTTCATGTATCTGTTTTCTTGGTTTGTTGTTATATTTTTGTCCCGGACACAGTGCCTTACATTATTGTGCATTTATCCCCCCTGGGAATGAACATGCAATAAAGTTTCACTACTATTATTTCAAGGAGGTTAAACCTTCTTGATTATCTGTAACGTTACCTGTGCCATTAACTTAGACTTGACTTGACTTGTACATGTTTACTTGTCGTTCAAATTCTTTGCCTCTGTCGCTTTATAACATCAAATCTTTTCCGTTGGGTCTGAACTGAAAACGATCGAAAGTTGGTGTCAAGCGCCAGGTATAATTATTCAATTTTTGTCGTTTTAGTGGCAATAAAATGAAACTATGGTCGTTTTCGGTCGCTTTTACACAGAGTTAAGTGCTGGGTTTACGGCCAATCGTAGTCTCAAACACAGTTTAACATCCCGCAAATGGAATCATACTGTCTGGTTGTCCGTTTTATTTCATTACAGGGTGATTTTCCTTATCAATAATGCAAGAAGGTTGAACATTAACATTTAAAAATGGGTAGGGCTGTATCAGAAACCATTTTTGTTCAACAAGAATCCTTCTTTATTTTCCAATATCGTGTATAAATAAGAATATAAGAAACTAGGACACTAAATTATTTCTTTGCTCAGAAAGGACACAAACAATCAACATTGTACTAACATTTTCCGGTCCAATTGTTCATCATGCACCCAACAATTATGGTCTATATGGTACCGATTTGATCTGGTTCGCATGCTGGTTAGATCCAGTTTGAACCGGCCAGCAGGTGTCATCATATCGTTGCACGACAGGTTTACGTAAGGAATCACAAGATTCGTCAATTACCATTCCGCGCCATGCCTCTTCAAAGGAGCTGACACAAGCGACGCGTAACGATAGTCGCCCGAGGCATTTGACGTAATACATCCAACCGTGCAAAAGGAGACTAGAAGTACTAGTAGAACACGAGACATTTCCTGCACATCTTGAATTTTATTGTGCTGTCTAGTTTAAAAGTTCGGGCATCTTGTTTGTGTTTCCACCTTGCACGTTCCTATGGGTCTGCAAAGGATGTCATGCACAACCTTTTTAATACTTGCTGAGTACGCGCCCTTTTTAGCCTCTCAGCTACTTATCCTAAGTACCTGACAACGAGCGGACAAGGTGCAACATTTGCTGTGAAAACACTGATCGACTCAGTTCTTGGCCTTTTTCTAGGTTGTGTCAACGGTACCTGTTTGCTTTTGATTCACCAGCGGTTAACGCGGTTCATTGACACGTACCTTGCAAACAATAGATAAAATCATAAGTTGGTTGGTCCGACGCTTAGACGATCGACGCTGATCTCGAAACATACCATAGCTCATATCATGGAGCTGAAACTCTAGCTCCATGCCCATACAGAGGCCCGAACTTCCTGCCTTTTAAGTTTAATAGAGTTCTGATGAAACACCTGTATTCAGCGCCACCTTCCGACCTTCGCTGTGTAGGCAGTTTCACAGATCCTACTCGTATCTTCAACTCCTCCTCAGAAAGCTCTGGTTTACTTTTTGTCACCCATTAAGTAAATAATCCGAAGTAAATTACAGGTAAATATTAATGGACGTAGGTTTTATAATTTACCAAATCTAGGTTAAGAAATCTCTGCCAGTCTTTCGTAACTTATAAAAGGCAGGTAGCTCTGCACATGTAACATAGGAGAATATTTGCCAGGGGAGTTTGACCGCCTTGGGGTTTGACTGGCCGCGCAGTTCGGAGGGAAGGAAACAACCTTCTGCGGACGGAATCCCCTGGCCAATTCTACTCTCCTTTTTGCCGAATTCTACGATCCGTATTCCCGTAGAAAGGCCTGGTGGAGGCTACGACTTTCCCAAGAATGTCCTCAGTGTTGCGATCGAAGGACAGCCGCCTGGCGTACGTATGTGACCGGATACAAGGCCCTTACTTATGATATCAAAGGGCAAGGTTAGAATAATTCATTTGAGTGATAACGTGTCCTTTGTTTCGCAGTTCGACTTGGTGTGTGACCGAGCCTGGCTCAGGGAGCTTGCGCAGGCTATGTACATGCTGGGGGTCAGCTTTGGAGCAATGTTCTCAGGGGCCCTGTCTGACAGGTAATATTTTTGGTGACGCCTCTGGGGCGGATACATTTTTGAATGTCACATTTTTATTTTATCTCGACATTTGTTACTAGTACCTTCGCGTAGGGAACTTTGGTTTGCAGCATGTCTGTTTGTGAGTTTGTTTGTTTGTGTTTCCATAGTTATTGTCACACAAAAGGCACGGCGGTGACACAAGCTGAAAGGAAGTTAGGTCTAAACTCCCAGAAAATTTATGGACAATTTTATCTCATTTGCTGTCTTTAATTTACCGCTACTTGCATGTCTGTTGCCTTATTGAAGACAATGAGAAAATACATGGGTAGAATCTACAAGAAATACAAATGTACATATGTATTCACATTAAATGAATGAGAAACAAGAAAGCCTATTTCACAGAGGCATGGAATCTTCGATGTCTTGTTTTTTTAATCTTCACTGTTTCTATTGTAAATCTGGCTCGTTGCATCTAGTCTAAACGTTGATATCCTGTCTCTCCCAAGATTCGGTCGGAGACCAGTTCTACTCGGCTGCCTCGTCCTCCTACTGATCTTCGGAGTGTCGACAGCCTTCGCCACGCACTACGTCATCTTCGTGATTCTTCGGTTCTTCGTCGGGGCTGTGGCCGTCGGCCTGTACTACGCCGTCTTTGTACTAGGTAAGTGTTTTCGTCACCGTGAGAAAGGTTTGAACGATCTAGCCTTGAAGACTTCGGTGGCACAATTCAAACTGGTGACTTGGAATTTTCCAAACTGAAACGTCGTCCAGTTAGCTAAAGGTGATGCCAGGATATGGAAGGAAAGTTTCCCGCGTTGCGTTTTTGGCGACTCCGCTAAGCCAATATTCAAACCCAGCGAAAAGCGCGTGGTTAGATTTTGCAAACAGGGTTTCTAACAGAAAGTCAGTGCCTTCTGTGTTTTATAATTTTTTCGTGTGATACAAAATTTTCGTGTGACATGTCCGACTGCATGCCCATGTTCTTGACACACGTGTGTACTTCACTTCCAGAACTGATCTATCAAAATGATAACAAACAAATTGCCCTACCACACACTAATCTTCTTTCTCCCGAATGAAGGTTAGACATCCAGGGAAGGTACTAGTATATCCGTTATAAAGAATGCATTAAAAGTTATCCTCTCTTTCAGTTTAAAACTGGTGGAGGGAAATGTTTGAAATAGTTAGAGTGTTGATTTCGCTTTGCTATGGTCGTTTGAATGAACATCACAATCAATTTTCTATTTTTATTTTCCCCATTTTTAGGACAGACGTTCCTGAGAAAGTTATGGGTACAACGTCGAGAGAGAATGACGTCATGACCTGATGAAGTTAGCCTCTGCTTTGACAACTTTATAGTGGTGGACATGATGATGATGATGATGATGATGATGGAATGGCAAGGCTTTTCACAGAATCACTCTCACGAGAAGTGCCGAGATCTGACGAGATTTCAACCAGCAACATCAGTCACAGAAAACCCTGTGCAAGACTGTACTTGTGAAGTTTGGATAGGATACTACCATGTGGTAGGAAATGTGAGAAAAAACACTGATGTTAACCTTCTCCCTCCTGAAGTAGCCTTTGGAACAAAATTTTCATTGGTTACATTGTTAGGCAGTGGGGAGATGGTTAAAACCAAGCCCACAGCAAGTAAATTTCATGGGTACAATAGCAGTAGTTGTAATTCTTGTTACAAAGTTTATGTTATTTACTGTAACACTTTGGGCATCTTTTTGTCAATCTTGTTTTTTCGCATTATTGCATAAGATTTAGGGTCTGCACAGGGGATGCCATCCATGAAATTTACTTGCTATGGCCTAATTGAATATCTGAATCTCTCCATACCTTCAACTAACTCATTTTTCTTCTTCCATGTCAAAGTTTAAAGGACGTTTCTGATTGGTTGCTTGCTGGCCTTTATTGACAGGTATGGAAGTTTTAGGCCAATCCAAGCGCACGATGTACGGTATGGTGGTGACGCTGTTCCTGGTGGCTGGGTACATCGGGCTCGGCGTCTTCGCCTACCTGACTCGTGATTGGGTGAAACTTCAGCTGGCCATTTCCGTTCCTGTAACAGTGTTCCTGACCTACTACTGGTAAGGACAAACAGATCATTTGGGTACTTTATATGCAGGAATTTCCCGCCCCCAAAAAAGATAGTATGAACACTAGCATTAATTGCACGATAAATTTTTACATCAGAGTTTGCAGTGTTGAAATTGCGCTGAAATTTAAAGGTGGTATCTGATTGACCTGCAACCTTGCTCAATAATCCGGGTCACACAAATCCGGGACCGCCATTTTGCATTTCAAGGTCAATGTAGCATGGGTAAAAACTAAAACAAAGACGACTTTAAGATTGAAAAAAAAAGAAAATAGTAACTAAAAAGCACATGATACAAACATATTACTTGGACCTCTCAGCACAGAGAGTGATGCTGAAATGTAGAATTTTGGAGATGAACTTATATGCATTTAATATTTCACCTAACTAGTACTCCTTCGCAACAGTTCCTTATGATATTCTTTATCGTCCTCTCAAACTATTTAGGTTTGCACTGGAGTCACCTAGATGGCTACTTGCCAATGGAAGGACGGAAGAGGCCAGGGAGGTCATCGACCGAGCGGCCAAGATCAACGGGGTCGAAATCCCAGAAAAGGTCTACGAGCTCATGAACGATAATGTCCACATCAACCGGGTAAGTGTATATTCTTTGATAAGATAATGTTCCACGCTTGCGCTTTTAAAGTTTAAGAGAACGTTCCCCGTTTTTGCCAGGAACAAAGTGTGATGAGCGGGCTTCACCTGTTGAGTTTTTCCGACACCCCTTTGTAGGGGAGAGATCAAAACGTGTTTTCGTTGCTGTTGTAGTTGTTGTTATTTGTCTGTTTGTGTGCTTGCAGGATGACTGCTCGTACGAGAAGGTTCAGAGAGTGTACAATGTCTTGGACCTCGTGCGCACACCGAACATGAGAAAGAACACATTCATCGTTGCCTTCAGTTGGTGAGGATATTAACTACTAGTACTCCATTTGTTCTCAACCATCTATAGTGTCTTTTGCTTATATCTCTATCATAAGGAAACGTAAGAACCTAAAAATTAATGTCTTACCCGTCCGTTTTTTTCTGCTCCAGGTTCGTGTGTACCGCTGCCTACTACGGTCTAAGCCTAGGCTCTGCAGAGCTCCCTGGCGATCCGTACCTGAACTACATCCTAAGCTCTTGCACTGAGATCATCGCCATACTGGTGGCCTGGGCCACTATGGACAGGTGGGGGCGGAAGCCTCCTACTATCGCTTCCCTCATTCTAGCAGGGCTTTCCTGTGGAGCAACAGCCGGTGTACCCAAAGGTACATGATTTCGTCCTGTTGTCCGAACATTTACTATTATTGCTATTGTTTGTATCCTTTGAAGTTTTTGTTGTTTACATAACTGTTGTTGTTTCCCAGAATTGTGGATGGTATCCACGGGCCTAGCCATGGTAGGCAGGTTCGGCGTCAGCGTGGCGTTTGACATCCTACCTCTGTACTCTGCCGAGATCTTCCCAACCGTCGTCAGGTACGTCATGATCAGTCCGTTTCTTGTTCTATTAAAACTCCGAGTAAATGCTGGGAGGCAAAGTGGTAAAGTTTGTCACGCTGCCTTTTCTGTCACAAACTATTTTTGATTGCCTTTTTCTCTGCAGAAATATGGGCATCGGTGCAGTATCAATGCTAGCTCGAGCTGGGGGCATCCTAGCTCCGTTTGTGACTCTACTGGGGAAGTCCTGGGCGCCCCTCCCTCTAGTCATCTTCGGCATCATGTGTTTCCTGGACGGGGTCGCCATCTTGGCCATGCCCGAGACCCTGGGGGTGCCACTGCCCGACACGCTGGAGGAGGCCGAGAACTTGGGGAGGTAACCTCATTTCCATATTCTTCTTGAATGGATCTCATTTACATGTTTCATAATATCTGAGGCCTTCCAGTTCTCAATCATATGACGTTAGAAGATCTAACGTTGGTATCTCTCCTTTCTCCAGTACGCTTGCGCAAACTGTGGACAAGGTGGTGCCCGACCCTGCGGAGGAGAAGACAGAGGTTTTGGACATCGTCACGTCGGTATGAGACCCTGGTGTCACGTCGGTATGAGACACCGTGTATGAGACCCTGGAATCACGTCGATGTGAGACCAATGCCAAGAGATATTACCAGGGATTCTAATATGACGGCAGCATCAGATCGCAAATTGGATCACAGTTTATGAAGCCGTTGGATGAGACTATGGAGTAAAATCCGACTGGTAAATTTGGATGTTTCTGGAAGATCAGTGATATCGCAATATAATGGAAATACTATGTATATCCATATTTGAGTATTAGGGTGTTACGACTTGTCCGTCACGGACTATTTGTCAACTTCCACGCCCTTTCTTTTCGTTTTCCCATTGGATTTTATACTTGTTTTCTTATTTTTGTATTTCCTAGGGGCCGTTGTTGTCATTCTCATCCCATTTCAGGATGTTACAATTAGGTTGTGTTATCACGTCTCTGTGAGACGTAAACGCTATGAGAGGGATCTACTATGTCTATGTGTAGAATGTAGAATTTATGTGGCCAATAGAAAATGTATCTGCCAGGTACATAACGTACTTTTCCCGGGAAAAACGTATTATGTCAGAGACATCTAGGTATGATCCAGATGTAGACAAAAATAACTGTTGAAGCAATAGTTTTGTATACTTGTCTTTGAATTCCCTTCTTGGTCTTATATTTTTAAACTTTGTAGATCACTTGTAACTCTACCTTGTGCGTGTGAATGGACATTCTACAGAATACGGATGGCATCAATGTGTTAAGCTTAAGTAGCGTCCTAATCAAATGTCATACGACGGCAAAAGGGTGCTAAAATACATGTACAGATGTACTTACTATGTATCCAGTACTTGAATAGGAGCAGATGCTGCATTTAACTGTAAATATTCTGCTCATGAAAGTTTACAAAAAGAAATGCATTTATAGACTGGTGCAATTGTTGTAGACATGCATGGGCATGGCTTTCGCTGCTGATAGTGTACTCTATACAAGGAAGACGGTTCTGTTTTCAATGTTATTTTTATAGGTTCTTTAGTTGTATGTCCTGACACACTTTGTTACCTTCGTGTACGGAGGTTTTGTTATCGGTGTGTCTGTATGTTTGCTTGCGTTTAGGTAGTCGTTCCCACGTTAGGGAAAATGTCCCATATAAGGTTCTCATTTTCTGTCTTCGATTTCTTTTGCTATATGTATGTCTGTTGCCTTATGGGACCAGTGGGGAAACACTTAGACAGAATCAGTGAGAAATTCACAAGAACTAAGTGTTTTACTGAGGTATGAGAACTCCGATTTTTTCGTATTAGATGCAATAAAGGATTGCAATAAATAAATGTTTTTCTATCTGTTTGATACTAGTAGTTTGTGTGTTATTTTTGTATAAGCAACTACAAACATCACATAGTTTTCTAGTATACAATTTAGCACGATCATGTGTAAAATGGCCATACTTTTTTTTTTCAAGTACTATTAGGATACTAGCTAGCATTTCTACATCATCTGAGACCAACTAGTATAGCGTCAAACTACATGACGTTACTCCACGTTTTCTGGTCGGAATCCCCCCAACCCCCCAGTGAGCCCCGTCCAAGCCGTCCTTCCGGTCGTTCACCCTTGTCGGACTGGTCCATTCCAGGGGCGGGGCCGGGCGGAGTCGACAATTTATTTTACAATGTTGTATATCTCACTGTTGTCTGTTGAAATTATCTCAATCAGATGATGATCACAACTATCTTTTTTTTGCGATGGCCAACAGATATGTTCATGTACGACGATGTAGTCGTAATTTTACACACAAAACGGTATACTGTAAAAAAAAACCCTCTAAAATACTCACATATACACATATGTTCACATTAAGGTCTACCAATCAGAATGCACCTAAATACACCAGAAACACCCATATCTAATCTGTGATGAAATGCGTCTCGTTTTGTTGAGATCGAATGACCCCCCCCCCTCCCCCTCCACCATACGAATGGTTTGTCCCAGTAATACCTTGTCTAATGACAAAGTGGGCAGGTGGATTCATACTGAAGCTTCGTACCGACAACATACCTGTATTCTTGACCAAGTCTTCAAAAAATATTTTTACATCTAGAAAGCTATACTTAACGGTATATCGGTGAATCATTTTCGTGTATATAATAGAGAGGAACGTCTAGGCAAGAGGAGAGTGTTGTAGTGTTTTGTGGTAGACAACCAGAGCTCCACAGACGCCAAGTTCCCGCGGGCGACAGAGGCGAGGGATCCCGGGGACATGGCTGTGTCACGCCGGTACGCCGCCGCCGCCTGGTCGGTCTGGATTCTTCTGGTACTGGTGCAAGACGTACTGGGTCAAAGTAAGTGGGGTTATCTTCCTTTACATTGTAAATATTCCTTGTACAAGTTGTAAGGTTAGAAATATGGCAAAATATTGAAGAGGACTGTTCAAAAATATGTAATATGAACACTCATAATACCACTGGGTACCATAAGATCACCACATTAAAAACATGAATTTTAAGAAATCTACCAACGCAGCACAATTAATTCCTCAAATATGCAAATTTTAGATATCCAGGTGTTAGTTCAATAAATTCTTGAGAAGGCCTTGTTATTTTCAAATGACGACCTTATGGTACCCGGCGGAATTATAAGAGTTAACGTTAAAATTTACGACAGTATTCTCTATTGAAAATAACAAGTGCAAATTCCACTTCACTTGACATCCTTTGACGTTGAATACAATACACATGTATGCTTCTTTCATTGTGATGTCTTTAACTTGACGGCCTATGATTGAGCTGTCCCACGCAACGTTGACTCTTCAGACATTATGTGTCTTCTGTAGCCATTACGCTGTTCTTTAAGAATTCTGTTTTTTTTTTTTGAGAACAGAACAGTTCCTATCTTATGTAAGGTGGCTGCATGTTCCCGGTAGAAAATATGGTTTCATTCTAGCCTTTGTACGCCATGATAAGCACATGCATCGGGCTATACCTCGGATGGTGTTTGGCATCGAAGATTTATGATTGCGCTCATGTGTATGAACACTAATCTACTTGATAAGTAAGTCAGGCCTTTGCGTGACAAGACAAATGAATGTTGTACGACATATACAAGACTATCCCCGAATATTTCCCTTTGTTTGCAATCGGACGACACCCTTACACTCTGCATGGCTGAATTCTTCGTACGGTCGCAAACTGGGGGCATTCTTGGGTTAGTAGAGCATGTGCCGTATACAATACAGCTACCCTTTTCCCGAAAAGGCTGTCTGAGGTTTAGATTATTATCTTGTCGGCAGTTAGTTCTGTCACAGCCTGCTTGAAAATACGTAGCTACGACTTAAGAACCATGTACAGCGTCCTACGACGAATAAGACCGCAACGTTACCAGTTGCACAACATGTTATTGAACTAGCTGTGTCATCTTCGTAGGTCGTTGACCTCTGCGTTGCCTTAGCTCTAAGAAGTCGTTAAACATTCATAACCACTAATGACATGAATAAAGGCGTCAACTCAATAACAAACGCCCACATTACGAAACGTGCTTTTCTCCATGGAATTGCTTCATCTTTTTTCCAAAAGAAAGAAGTACCCCCTTTCAATTAAGTATTATTGTTATGTATCGCACGGAAGATATGCACGAGGACGATACGCATAAATGTACCACAGTGGGGATTTATACCACCTTCAGGATATCTTTTATTTGTGTTGAAGTTCTTTGTTGTTTGAAAAGCACCCGAATATGTTGTGGGTCTAGTTAAGTTCTTTATCCTTGGTAGGTGATCCAGATATACACAATTGGAGCGAAAGAATGAGTTTATCATGCAAGTTTAGAAGCTACTTTTGTACCTATAGCAAAAGGATGCATCAAGCCCTCAAGCCAAAGCAAGTCCCTGAATTCCTGTAGGATTTAAAGATTTTCTGAAGGTCTAGAGTCAAACCATTGACAATGGTTCGGTCGGATTATAGTTTCCTGTCTCTAGTCGCTAGCTGAATTTAAGTGACAAGTAATCTTACACACACACGCACACACACACACACACACACACACACACACACACACACACACACACACACACACACACACACACACACACACACACACAGAGCGTCATAGCTTATCATACTTTCAGAACCGCAATGATTTAGAAAATGTGTCCATTTGTTCTCGATAAGGAAACGATTTCCAGAACTCACGGAGCGAAGCCATATCAGTAGATCTGAGGTGTGTACCGGAAACAGGGACAGACAGACCCATCACCGTCGTGCATTTAGCTACATGGTACCAGACTGTTGAACACACAAATATATAAACATACGTAAAAGGGGATAGGCACTTAGGCGATGTTGTCAGTTCTGCAAATATGTGCAACTTTGCACGTAGGAGAGTGGGGGTTATCTGGTCACTGTCACTTGGTTTTCCAAGCGTAACCCCCAGCTGTTTCTCTCAGCCCTCCCTCCCTCTTTCAAGCAAGCTGTGAACCAACCACAGACAAGGATCTAATACAGCCTTTCCCATAAAAAAGACAACTGGATTTTGAACGACACGTGCACAAGTATTCCAAGAATGAGATCTTACGACGGTCGCACGACGAATATGACCGTGTCCTTAGTGTGTACAAACACTTGCGGTCCCATCCTGTACTGTAGTTAAAACTTATGCAACACTTTATCCATACTATCGCCACTGTTATCTTTCATCCCAGTAATCCCTGCACCACCTATAATTACCATCTTTCGGGCCATTAGACTTTCAATAGACAACAAAATGCTCATTACTAGATTGAATCTTGTTCTAAATGCTCTTTTTTCATTATAATGAGTCTAAAGGGTGTGAAAGAAATTAGTTTTTTTTTCTAGTTTTGGGGAGTCAATGTGCTAATGGTCGGTCGCCACATCACCATGGCAACGTGTAAACACCTGCAGGGCGTTTCCCGCTAAATCTCTCAATCAGGTCGACCTGTCAGCTTACCACAAACTAGCGATTTGTCATGTTGTGACAACATGGCGGAGTGAGCACAAAATTACTGGCTACGGCGAGAAGAAAAATCTTGAAAATTTCCGTTTACTTTCTATGCAAGAGTGGATGTGTAGCTAACATCAGCACTTTTGAAAACCAGACTTGTTGCTTTCTATCAGTATCTGTTCAAATGAGCTAGGGTTTTGGAGTTTAACCCTATAAGCCTAAGGGTGTTCGGTCTCGTTTGGACACCTGCAGGTACCATGCAATTAATGAGACTGACAAAATCAGCATTGATTGTCGTCCTAAAACTGTTATTATATAGTAAGGAAAATTAAAAGTATAATTGGATATACGCAGCGGGGTCAACATGCGGTATGATTGGGCATCAAAGTCTTAGCAACTAGACAGAGCAATTACCCTTCATTGAAGTTAATACTCTTCAATGAAGTTAATAGTTACATATTACCGTCGTGATGTTTTGCTCATGTATAGCTGACTTACTTCTACCATTCTTGTACCCTCTCTATATGTTTATAAGAATGAATGGCTATTCTATGATATCAAAACAACGAGTCAACAAGCTATAGTTTTAATAGCTACTATATGGCATCCGATAAACATAAGGTATGTACAAAATGGAATTAAAGGGCCCAAAAGTCTTATGCAAATTTGTTGTTTGCTCGTACGTTGTTTGTTTGTTTTTTTGCCCGGGCGAAATCCAGACTAGGCCGGAAAAACAACGAATGAATGAATGAATGAATACCAGAATGTCTACTCAATTATCTGTCTTCGACCGAGTATCTAAATTGCAAATCATTCACTCTTTTCTGCGATACAACTGGCCCTCAGAGAAGTCTGTTTGAGACTTATAATCTCACCATATGTGTGACAAACTCTCGACTGTCCTGCGAGCCAGACTAATAATTGAAATACCGTGCGGTTAAATAGCAGAGTAATTGGGCACTGGTCCTTTGCCCCGGGGAAAACGCACACATCAAAAGGTGATAATAAGGTTGAGATGGCACACACGACACAGACATGCTACAACATTCCTCTCTGCAAACTGCACTCAGGTAGCCTCCAACAGGCTCATCCGTGGGCCAAATAAATGGTGGAAATCTATCTCCTGTAGCCCTAGAGTTGTAATGAGTGGTTGGGTACGTCATACTTATAACGAAGCCAGGAGAAGACGTCCAGGCTAGAATGCTTGTGAAAAAAGTTGTGCACGAATGTCTTAACCCAATATGGTTTCAAACAAAACATTGTTTCTTTATTAACCGCACTCACTACCATGATCAAAAACGTTTACCGATCTTGGTACGATCGCAAACCGAGGGCATTGTATAGTCGTGTACGTGTCGTGCAAAATTGAGCGGTCTTTTGAAGGAAGAGGCTCTCTTAGATCTTTCTCTTCTAAGTCGATACAACTTCACTATCAAAACGAAATTTGTGACACCCTGGGGCCTTTTGTGAATTTATAATGGATACATGTAGTTCCTTGTATAAACGCTTTCGTAACCACTATACTGGATAAACCACTTTAAAAATACCCAATACGTGCATTAGCAAAAGGTAAAGAATCAGTACGCGAAGTTAAGCATGTCATGTCTGGTACCTGGGCGTCTTGTTATGCAAATCTTTAAGATGAATAGACCATCTTAAGTCTGTGATAGTACAACCCAGTTTTTCCAAATACCAGCTGGATTGAACTAAAAGCCAGAGATAATTACTAGTGACGTCGGCTACTCTTGTCATCCGGTCTTTATATTTCCTGTTAAGGCTGGGAGTGTCTTAAACATTATGGTATGGACTGTTTTTACCAATAAAAAATGATTATAATTTTTTCATTGCAATATAAAACGTAGTAAGGTCTGGTCCTGGTTTGAAATGTCTCTTCCGCTACATGATGAGTTTGCTCATACTATATTGAGATTGCTCTGAACAAAAATTCATCAAAGTCTTGCATGTCGTAGCTGATTCGGTGAATTCGTTAAGAAAAGTGTAATTTCTTTTAGAAAAGCGATCGTCTTTGCCTATGAGACCGCTTGAAATATTTATAAATATCAGCCGTTAACTTAGTGTATGCCATCTGTATGGTCATTTTCTTACGCATGAGACCCTGTTCATCTTACACAACCTGCAAAGTTGTATCCACTGTCCGTAATGTATACACGGGATTAGCCTTTCCCCCGTCACGGTTTTTGCTTCCAAAGTGAAGAATCTACATAATGTGCCCCTGTAATCCCCTGGTATCGCGTGTTCGGTCTCGCTGGGTGGACATGAAAGAAGCCCAGCGATTCAACAACATGCAGGTGGTTTTGTACACAAGCACGGTGCAAATTCTTTTTCCTTTGCTAGTTATAGTGGCGATATGGCCCAAACAAGCTACTAGGCCTCAAAACTCGTTACGTCCTAAAGAGTCACTTTTGTATGATATTTGCTTTGCCTGTAGTTGTGTGACCATTTTTAAAAGTCTCGCTTCCAGATCTGTATTGTTTGCTTGGAATCGTGACTTTCCTAAACAACCAAACTGAGCTACGAGGAAAAGGAAAAACAATTCAAACCCCTGAGATTTGTTTTTAGTTCTGGCCGCACAAGGTGTTTATTTAGACACGTCCCCATAGTTAAATGTTCACAACATTCATGTTTTATTTTCGTTTTTGTTGTGTGTGCTATTCATGGACAATAGAGTATTTTCTGTGTGACCCAGAATCAGTTTTGTTTCGTGACTTACGCTGTATTCTCCAGTAAATACTTCATACAATGCAGGACTGTTGATCTTTAAACATTTTGCACAGTTGGCGGAGTGACAAGAAAAGGTTCAAAACATTTACAACCTCTTACACAGGACGTTTCGTACTGTAGGTCGATGACCCTGGAAGAATGCTTTTAAATATAAGCATGGTGTCAGGCAATGCAAGGAACCAATCTTGAAGACAGCCATGGCTGCTAGCCTCCTTCGCAGACTTCTGAGGGGGCGACGTTAATTTTCTCCGGGAGCGACGCGAGATACCAGCCGGCAGAACCGTAACCCTCCGCGGCATACTAGTAACTCGCGTCGCTCCCTGCAAAAAAGGAACGCTGCCTCAGAAGTCTGCGAAGGAGGCTACACGGCTGACACAAAAGCTTTTGTTCAAATTATTAACGGGAGGATGATCCCTAAATAGAAGCTCACAATAAACCAAGTGAAGCGATTTGACTGACAAGAGATGATAACCTTGCGGGTTTGTATGTGTAAAACGTCGCCACGACTACCAGGTCATGTTTTGTATCTGCCTGTCATTTGAGAAATCGTCAAATGAACTGAGAGTAACTATTACATATACATATACCAAGAAGGTTAAAACGCATTTAATCACGCCAAAAGCTTAAGGGTTAAAAGGTCTTTAACCTTCTGGACTAAACTCTGGTCTTTTTCAAAGGGCATAAAGCTTCCACAATCATCAGTTTCGGGCAAAGTTGTTATATTTTCTGTCTCGCTTGCACGAAGCAATTTTCACGCATAAGCATTTATACACTGCCTGAAAAAATGTTCTAGGCAGTAAATAAAACACTGACGTACTTTAAACCCTGGAGACAATAGGAGAGAAAGTACGCTGCGTAGTCTGACTACATCCCGCTTCAAACAGCCATTCCGCTGGTGATGCCCTAGGAAGCTTGATCGATGGTCAACACATCTAAGTCAATAGGGAACAAAACATGGCCTAATCATTGTCAGTCTAAGAACCGTCTCCAAAGTGTTGGAGACTGTGATGGTTGGTCTCCATAGTGATAGGGAACCCTGAGCTACTATTGGTAGTTCGGGGGAATGGAAATGAATCTCTAAGTGTATTCCCACAAGCTCTCGGGAAGTAATCTCCAAGCAGATCATGCAGTGGCAAGGCAGTATCCATCGGCCAGAGGAGTAGCTAGGTGGCTAGTGGACACTCCTCTGGTCAATGGATACTGTCTTGCCGCTGTATGATGTGCTTGAAGATTATCGGGGAGGAGGACCAACCATGCAGCCCTGACAGCCACAACTTCTGCCCCATACCGTTTCATAATAACACGTTGTTACAAGTTGAGAAACTGTCCATGTACAGCCAGTGTTTGGGTGCGTAACGCGGCAGCGAAGAGCTCCTGCTGCGAGTTCTTTGTGACTGTTCTTCTTCTGGGTGATTAGACATTTCTTTCTGATGAAATCAGGGCTAGCCAAAGTCTCACCTATTTCTTGGGAATCTTTTTTATAAGTACAGTGTTGGCAGGGATTGTAGTCCTTCTAATTAGGCGGTCAGTCCTTTTTTAAATAAATCTCTTATTCAGTAATTGGACCTATATAGAACGGCATAGAACTGTTTCCAAACCTCCAGCTGAATTGCCTGCTTTTGACCTAAGACCTCTGTGCTGATGACTGTGTATGTCCTTTGCACAAAGTTCCCATTTCAAAGACAGAAAGCTGTGCTGCATCTCCTAATGTCGTCTCCAGGGGACGCTAATCACTGAGCAAAAATGTGAAGCCTTTTGTTTGCATTGACATCTGCAGTTTAGATAAAGATAGTTTTACCTGTTATATTTACGCCTTAAAACAAAGGACTTGTAATTAGGATAAATTGAAGATTGGTGTTATCACCTCTAGTAGACTTAAGCTCTTTGGGACATGTCTGTGGAAGGCCACTGTGGTTGTCGGATCCACTTTTCTTGTAACGTTACAAGAAAAAGAAGAAGACAGATGAATTTTCCACTACATACATGCAAGACTATCCCAAGAATGCCATCAGTTTGCGATGGAACAACGACCATATGACGATCGTACGAAGAATGTGACCGGACCCTTGTTGTGTTTCTAACGTTTGTCCATTTGTTCTGCAGCTCCGAGAGTGACGTCTATCGGCAGCCATCAGGGCAGTCGGGCAGGAGAGACACAACTCTACATCTATGGTGAAGGTGAGGCCCAAATACTCCCCTATAATGCTTAATAAAGATAGGACTTTCTTTCAGTTGTTTAGGCGGTATCTGCTGTATTTCGTCAGTGAATTATCCAAATAAAACACTAATGGAATATGGTATAATTACGGATTTATGGCCCACCCCTATAGGTGACATAACGCCTAGCCAGTGACCACAGAATAAACCACCGAGTGAGCGAAGTTGAAATCCCATCATTCCCACAACTGTGCCACATTTCCCCACGCTTGACGCCATGACTGAACAACCAATAGAAATGGAGGCTTATGATTCGTCCACAGTCAGGATATATAACGAGAAAGACAATCAATATATCGATAAATGAATCAGTTGATTGTGAATTTCAGGATTCTCTGCTAACCAGTTTAGCTGGGGAGAAGGGAACGAGAATGCCGGGAACCGGGTCCTACTGGAGCACGACTCGGGGACGTTCTCCGTGGTCTGTGCCGTGGAAGCCGACATGTCCAACCAGCAGCAGATCGTCTGTAGGACCCCGTAAGTTCTACTTATTCTTATCGCTGATGATAACGTGTCAGCTCCGCGTGCGGTGATGAGGTGGTGCGGTGTATTTCTTCGTTTTCGGTATCTCGTGTATCTCGTCAGCTAGAGGACGGTTTTCAGTTGTCAAACTGTGTGGGTAAACATTTTGAGACAGGTAACATTTAGTAAGCTGCCACCCTTGAGGCGTCACCAAAAAGATATTTTAGCAAGCGCCGCTCTTGAGGCGTCGCCAAAAAAGCTATTTCAGTCATTGTCCTAATCTATTGCTAGAAACTTTTATCTAAAATGTAGAAGCCCATCAGTATCACATTAAAATAATTATAACGATTATTGAAAGTGATACTTGTATGCTAAAAACGTCTGTATTTTTCCCGTCCAGGGCGGTGGAGAATGACGGGACGTACTATGCCCGTGTGACGGTGGACGGTGTGCCCATACCCGTCAACAAACACTGCCGCTACACGTACGACTACAGGTGCCGCTTTACCGTGAGTACCCGTTCATCAGAGAGGAGAAACGAGTCAAAAGCCTGTATTGCATGATGGATTGTACTTTTTGTACGCAGTACGCAGCCAAAGAAGTTAACTGAAACCAAGGCTTGCTCAATGAAACCAAAGCCAAAAGACCAGCAATGTAATTACACTACTAATTGACGTAGGCAAAGGATCCACTAGAAATAACAATTTACGCAAGTTTGGTGCCATATTCACAATGTTTATTCACTACTAATCCGTTTATATGTCCTCCACTCATCTTCTTTTTCAACCCTTATTTTACAGTACAAAGGAGGCAGGACGCCAACTATTGCGAGTCTTAGCCCGATCTCAGCTCCACCGGGTAAGATCTATTTCATGAGTCTCAGTACCAGGGGCAACCCAGTGTGTGTTTCGTGACTTCATGAATGGCTAAATTTCCTTGGGTAAATGAATGGCAGTACTCCAGAGCCCACAATAATCTATTTTAGTCTCAAGGTCATGTTGCAGATTCAAATTCAACATGAAGTCATGTTGCAATTCCTTTTATTGACGTCTAAAACACGATTGTAGAGCCAACATTGAATACATAGATGTAGTCTCCTGTAGTGCATATTAGTTGTTAAGTGATAGTGGCTATACATGTGTATGTCATTCAGTCAAGAAAATACTTGATTGTGTTAACTTTATAGGGAGCTTCGTGAGAGTAAGGGGAACCATCTTTACTACCAAATACGGCAGCAACGTGGACAAATCCACCAATGGGAAAACCGCTACCATCAAAAGGTATGGACATCGTTAACGTTTGCAGCTCTTTGCTTGTTTGGGACAAACTAACATTTTTTAACGGAGTAGTTCAATGCAAGGCCTATATCAGACCACTTCTCGGCATTGAACTAGAAAGATGAGAGAAACATGGCTATGTCAAGAGATGGCGGTGAACGTTTGATTCGGAAATCCTGTAGATTGTAGGTTGGAGGGAATTCCAAAGCTTGGTCGTACGGGGAAAGAAACTATCACAGTGAAAAGATTTCGAACAAAGAATTTGGACGGTGAACTTACCTTACCTTTGTGATATTTGAACTGTCGACGGTTAATGGTTCTTCTTGTGGCTTTGAATAAATCTTTTTTTATGCACTCTTCCAGGGTTTACTTCGGTGGACAGAAGTGTGAACTGCGAGATTTTGAAGCCGACGAAATGTAAGACAGTATTTCTTCACATTAATATTTTGAGCAAGTGAAACTTAGAACGTTGTCCATATGACTAAGAGAATGGCTTATAAAACATAGTGCAAATTCTGTTTATTTGTTTGTGATTGCTCTAGGTAGACATTGACATTGATGCGAATTTTCTTGCGTATTCTGCCTTGTAAATTACGACGTTTCACTTATGATCGCAGTGAACAGAATTCAGACAATGCCTACAATGTTGATATTGATAAAGTGTTGCATCATGATTTGATTTACTTTCATCCATGCAAAAGTAACCTTTATATTATACCTATATACAGGTATGGCATTCAGTTGGACAATAATGGTAACTCGAACAACGGCTGGTTCAGGTGCAAATTGGAGGGGACCTACGTAGGTAAGCTCAACATGTCCTGCTTAAGGAAAGATAAAAGATCATGGACATTATGCTAAAGGCAACAATTTCTACTGAACAAAAAACTCGTTTATATGTTAACACATTTTCCCTGTTCCAACAGGTAATGTCAACGCAAGCTTCATTCTTGATGAAGACTATGGAAGGTATGATGTGATGCATATCATAACTTCATATCGATCTGTCAACTTATAAGAAGAGATCATATCACAACAGTCGCCCGCAATGTTGGAAAGAGTTCCAATCAGATATTCTTTGTTGTAGATTTTTGTGACTTATTTGTTTTTGTTGTTCTTTTGTTCCCGTAAGATAAACACGTAATTTTTGTACCATAGAAGACAGTGTTGTGAACATCAGTACACATATGCTGATTTAGGCGTTTGCTTTCCGGTTGCTTGCAGGTCGTCAGCAGATGGTGACACCAAGCGAGTGAGCGTGGTTGTAAACGACAGAAACTTGCACATGTTCCAAACTTACGCCGGTAGGTCCTGTACATTGCTGTCGCATAAGGGCAGGAGTTATAGTAGATTTAGACCTGGATGTACCCATTGTATTTCTCCACAACTCCATGCAACGCACTGGCATATTTCTCTTCAGTATCCTGGTTGTTATATCTACCCTTCTTGATCTAGGCAGATTTCACAGAGCGCAAGTAACGCTTCTAAGCCTCCGTTGCCGACGCTGCGAAAAAAACAGCTTACTCAGACCCTCCCGTGCCCAGGGCGGTGTGCGCCTGCTTTCTGCTTCGACTTGTTAATCTGCAGAATAGCTTTGGACATCACCACTTTTTCCCTGGGTCGGATTGCCAGTACAGAGACGTATTAACATGTTTTTAAAAACGTGAAATTAATAGTGAAGCGTATTCTCACAAGTACGTTTATTTCAAAGCATTACGAAAAACGACTTGCAGGATCTTTGTTTCACCATGCAATAGTACAACATAGCATAATACAGGCACAAAATTAGATTGAACCTTACGATTTATCTACGACTAGAGACGTAGCAGAACTAGTCTGGGGTTATTTCCAGACCTTACAATGTCCCTTTATATGCCGTAAGGATTGAGATCAGTTTTCGATGAGGAATGTAAAAGACAAAGTATCTGGCCAAAGGCAGTTTTTCCACCGATAACCCTTGCCCTCAATTCGTGTTGTGCCAACAAGTACTAATCTTATAATGTGCTGGGTAGCTTAAGCCAGACTCGCCATCTCAGTGTGGTTTCTTTTGTGAGTCTGTAAGGCATGTTTTGGCGTTTCCTTGACAATTTGGCCATTCAAACAAGATTCAGACTTAAAGAATCTGTTCTTCGTTGACCTGCATTGACTTTTTAACACAAGCTAATTCAGCATGAAAATCGCTTTAAAAAACTGACTTTTGAAAGTAGTTTTTCAGCTGCTGTCATTACAGTCATTGCGGCTTAAGAATGATTCCGCGTTTTTCTTTGATTTTCGTCACGTTATTTTCGTCCCAAATAAAAAGTCATTGTGAAGTTCAAGGTTTAAGAATGACTTAGTGTTTGTCTTTGATTTTCGTCAACTTATTTCCGCCCCAAGTGCACATGTAATTTGGGAGTTCAAGGCTTAACGATCCTTTTGTGTTTTTCTTTAATTTTGGTCACCTTATATGCACCGTGCATCGTCCTTCTGTAAGAGGCAATTTCATCGTAAAACCCCACAATGCTCCAACTCTATTTGTACTCTAACTCTTCATCCCTCTTCCGCCCCTCCCCACAGAGGTGCTGGGAGTCAGCCCGGCCACAGGCAGCCTTGCCGGCGGCACCCGCCTCACCATCACCGGCAGGTACTTTGACGACACCGACGCTCCGCCTGAAGTCTACGTTGGAGGTGAGGATCTATAATTATAATACATCTGCAAACAACATTTAAAGATAGAGCATTAAACCATTACGCACCGCAAAAAAAATTCAACTTGGAGAGAAAGTTTAAAATCTCATCCGCCATCTTTCTTCTGAACGGATTGTCACGTGACCCGGGAGGTCACATAGGTCACGTGACTGGGCGAGGCTTTTTGGTAACGAAATATTTGTCTTTTCATTTCATCCAAAGGAGACATATAGAAATGTATACGTAAGCATGGCTGCAACCAATTGTTGACAAGAATCTTCTTTCGTTTAAATTTCTTCCAACAGGCACACCTTGTGCTGTCCAGAGTATGACAGACAACACGATCGAGTGTATCACACAGGCTGCTCCTGACCTGTCCTCACCATCATGGCCTGGTAAGTCTTTGAGAATGATATGTTTTTTTATCAAACTGAACAACCATGGTGTTAGAAATTCAAGTATGGAGTAAAAACATCGAAACATGGGCTAACTATTGACACATCCACGGTGTGAAACATAATCCATGGGTAACTAGAGGTCGGAGATCTCATGTCTTCGTCAGAGGTACATCGTTCTAGAGAAATTAACATGCGTATTCTTCACTCTTTTTAATAATCAATTTGGTCTAAAGAACAAAAGAATCTCTGTACTATTTTTATGGTACAGAACACCCTGAAACGGTTCGCCGCAGATTATACAGATGCGTCGTCACCCGTGTTAGCCCCCCCCCCCCTACGTTATTTGAGTTTGGACTGTTACTGGAAAAAAAAACGTTCAAGAAATTCTTACTGTGTTGAAAGTGTCCCGACAGCGCCGCAAAATATAATAAGATGTTATAAAGGAAAGAATCAGAACAGGGTGACTACTGCTGTTTTGTTAATTTGTCTTTATGACAAATAGAAGACTTGTTCTTGTGTTCTTTGTGTCCTAACATTTGTACTTCTACAGTTTATTCCAAATCTAGGCATTCTCGTTTTTCGGCCCTTCGTGTTTTTATTGCGGGCTTGCCTTAAATTTAAGGTAATTAGATTTAAGGTCTCCAGTGGACGTCATCCATAGTAATTACTTGGTGTGGCCGTAGAAAATAACCTGACATATGTCCAACCTATCCTCCCCCTGCTGAAGTTATAGTACAATCCCTCAATGTAACGTCATTTGATCCCATCCCATTATGGGGTTCCCCAGGCTATATCCAGCTGTCGGCTGTCTCCAAGCAGATGTAGGTGGGGGATTTCTAAACACAAAAGGTCCTATTACGGGGACATAACGACCTCCACGACTCTCATCTTTGAACTCAATCTTGGAGACCACCACAGTAACATGCCTATCAAATTTTATTAACTTCCATCCACACATACAAAAGTTATCCTGCTCACAAGAAAAAATTAACAAAATGCCCCCTGTAGTCACAACGAAACCCCCCACGAAGCTCAGTAACGAACTTAACCTTGGTCCCGACAATAATAAGCACCACACCAAGAATTATAATCAACATTTTACAAATACTTGAGTTATCTTGCTAACAAGCCACAAACACAAAAGGTGCACTAACGTGACGCACGGACCCCCCACGAAGCCGAAACTTGCACTTGACTTTGGCCTCAACAGCGGTAATCTGCCTGCCAAAAATCATGGACGTCGAATCATGCCTTCCAGAGTTATATCGCAAAATCCGCAGTCCCCCACACTCCGGCGAGACAATTTCATAGTCCTTCTGACGAAGACAATAATCAATTCTACGGGATTATTTTTCAGGTAATCGAGGAATGCAGTTCGAGCAGTGGAACAACACCAGGGTGAACTGGGGAAACATCGCAGGTGTGACGGACTACACCTCGTCCCGGAGCGGCTACTGGACCAAGTGGATCTCCAACTTTGAATTTCATGACACGCACAACCAGCAACAGTAAGTCTTACAAACACGCAATTTCCGAGTAATTTCTTGGCCTAACTCTTTCTTAAACGGGCTGCAGCTGGTACAACATTGAGAAAAGTCTATGATGAATACATCGTATAAATAGCTCTATTTGAAGACGGTATTGAAAAAAATTCAATGCTATCAAACTGAATATTCTAGGATTGACTCGTTACATTTAGACTTACTCTAGCAATGATATGTAATTTCTGTTGTCCTAGGTTTGACATCTAAATCCCTGCTTCAGTACAGTGATTGATTTTTTTCTGTTTGAATGTTTCCAGTTTTGTGACCAGAGCGTCGGGCTATTTTGTCCCACCCGAGGATGACTGGTACCAGTTCTACATCCGCAGTGACGACCAAAGTATCTTATACATGAGCAAGAACGCCAACAAGGAAAACAAAGTTAGTAACCCTCACTTCAGGTGGCTATAGGACAAAAAACCTGTTAGTCTGCGGTTATACCATCCCCCTAATGTATTCAACTACTAACGGGCACACAAGCAAAGAAACAGACAAGTACAGCGAAAACAAACCTCCGTACAAGGCGGTAACAAGCTTGCGGTTTTGCTACATTAGAGATATTGAAGCTTAGTAGAAAACCTGTGTATGATATACTATCTTACACTGTTATGTATATGTTTTTCACCCACGGTACTGTATTCCACAGACCAGGATAGCCTACTGCGATCGGTACCGTCCTGGGTGGTTCAACAGTAACTCTCAGAAGTCTGAGAAGATGTGGTTGGAGAAAGGGAAAAGGTAAGAATTCTCCCTGTGATTCTAAATATGTACCGTTAAACACTTCATTGGCACGTAAGGATCTGTGACATTGAGTGGTTTAAGCAACATGGCCATCAATTGCGATACTTTTATGTATGGTCGTTGAATGTTGACGAAAGGACTTACTCCGATTCTCTGTGTAAATTCCACTGTTACTTCCTCTCAGTATGTGGGAAGTCTACTCTGACCTCACGTCTTCCCAGCCGGTCGATCTAATTCGACCTTCCTGTCAGTCTGTGGTTACACCATTTCCTCCTTCACTTCCTGTGACTCCAATGTATATAAAAAAACTACGGACAGACAAGCAAACAAACTAAAAACAAAACATTTGTGCACCGAGGCAACAAACCAGTCATAACTCTTGGATGATCTTGTCATTGTGATTTCTCAGCTACTACATGGAGACGTCACAAGCTGAGCAAATAGGCGGCGCTTTTTACGAAGTGGCGGTGCGGAAGTTTACGACTCAGTACACGTCACAGCAGACCGACTCTGCCTGGATGGCGCAGCAAAGAGTGGCGGTGTCGGTAGCATCTCGCCGAGAAAAGCAGGTAATGTTTCCTTCATGTATTTATCGTGCACCGGAACAGGGACTTAATCTACATTATAATATAGCCAGGAGACGTCGACCAATCAGAATCCATTTCCCAATGGTTATCAGACCGTAACTTCAAAACTGGTCGGTTATTAGAATAACGAAAACATCAACAACAATTAGCTACGTTCGCTACGCTCACTTGGTGGTTTATTCGGTTGTTATCGTACCTGACCAGGGATTATCTCACCATATACACCTCGAGGCGGGGCATTAACCCTTCATTAGAGAACACATATTGACATTATTGTCGGTATGGTGGCCTTGAAAATGTGTTCCTGAATACCTGTTACACCATACCATCCACTGTGTGGTTAATTGTTATAAACAGATAAAGTGTTGAGACTGATTGTTTGTTTTTTGTTTACCTTATCTAGCGAGTGACTCTGGGTAACTTCGCTACGGCTTCGCCAGTGAAGCAGGTTCAGACCATCACCTTTGTCGGCTCAGTCTTCCAGTACAAACTCGGGTTTGACGGCGCTTCAACAGGTCTGCTCCTCAGCTCAGGTGACCCGAACTCCGTGAAAACAGCACTGAACAATCTTATGTCCGTTCAGCCAGATACAGTCGAGGTCACCCAGTCTAACACAGCGGACGGGTTCGAGCTGGCTGTGGAGTTCCAGTCTACTAGAGGTCAGTAGTATTCAGCTGCATCAACAACAGGGTCGTTCCTGTTCCTTTTAGTATTGAGTCTTACTTTAGCCATCCATTTTAATCTTTGGAAATCAGCCTGACACAAGACATATCACACAGATGTATGGGTTCCGAAATGACTAGAATATGCATCTCAGACGTTTTAGAAATTCAACATGAGTAATCATATGATATATTTGATCTTCTGAATCAAACAGATTTGCATCAGATGAATCAACTAGATTGCACAGTGGCGGTCGTTCCGTAGAAAACGACATTGTGGCATGCTAGTATTCATTTACAATACACCATTCCCCCTACAGGAAACTTCCCCCCGTTCGAAGTGGACATCTCGGGCGGTAACGCTACCGTCGCCGTCACCACGGAGGGCAGACCGGCGCTGGACACCTTCACACTCGACATGGGCGGCGTGCCATCCGATCCCATCGCCCACGATGCAAGCGCTGAAGACGTAAGTTTGTTTGGGCTACAATGCTTCAGTCTTGTGAAGTTTCAATGTTGTAGTACAATGCTTTATACCAATAAGCCAGTTCATTTTGCTGTGGTTTAAGGCTCGCATTTTCTTTCTAGGTGAAAAACGCAGTGCTGTCCGCACTTGGCTCCCGCTGCCCCAGTGACATCGTGGCCCCGAGCGGCAGTATCAAGGGTTTCCTCCAGGACTACGAGGGGAACATCGGGTACTCCTTGCACGGGCAGAAGGTCACTAACGTGGAGGCGTTCTGCGGACGGGCGGCCGAGAAGAACCCGGTCTATCTCTTCAGAGAGAACTTCGGCGTTGGACAACTGCGTATGGATATGTACCGGAAGGTAAGCCTAAACCTTTCATCATAGACCCTGCTGATCTTTCAAGTGCTCGAAATCAGCTATGTCTTTTTTTTTTAATCTTTCAATCACCTTTGAACAAATCATTGTTCATACATTTATCAACGACTTCATATTTCTGTTATAATTCTTCCTTGCAGACCTGCTTTGCATACAAGGGAACGTTAGGTCTGTCTGACAAAATCTGGGTAACCTTCACGTTCACCGACAGTAGCCGTAACCAGCAACAGAAGAATCGACATTACTCGGTTGGACTACAGAATGATGGCGCGTAAGTATCTGTCTTCAGGCTGTAATTTTTGGCGACGCCTTAGGAGCGGAGGCATGTACGCCATTGCTCTCGGTTATATATGTAACCTTGGGTAGTGTGATATTCAGTATACATAGAAGTAAAAAAACCTACAGACATTGATTAAAGTAATTGGAAAATCGGCATCTTCCACCTCTTCTGGTTTAACTCTAAGTCTTTTTGTTGTTGTTGATCGCAGGTGGCACTACATCTGTGTAGACCTCTACGGCTTGGTGTCCAGTGACGAGGTGGCCGTGGGCGGTAGGAGCTTCATGCTGAAGGAGTTCGGGATGGTGTGGGAGAACCAGGGAGCTGCAGTGTACGTGGACACGGTCTTCATTGGGAGAGTCAACACCGTGGACAACCCAGAAGGTACCCACTAATATAAAATGTAGAAACGCTAAACTGCTCTAGCTTAGTGGTAGATAAGGAATACTTGCGATAGGTAAGGAATGAATTTCACCATTTATCCTGTGAAGTTGAGTGAATGTCATTTATGCCAAAAAGCAGTTACTCAAGCAACTGGATATGATTTTGCAAACGTCAAAATTGAAGACGTTTTGGACACGCTATATTTGACTTCATCATCAGAAATGACCGGTCTGAGGGTTCCTGGGGCCAAGCTGAACGGAATGGCGATCACAGACGTGTTGGTGGAGAAGGATCAAAATTCAACAGCCTACGACATCACGCTTGTACCACATGGGTGTGACTACGGGTTCCCACTTCTCAGTGTCAGATCTGCACAGGTGAGGCACAAATTTAACGTTTTCTATCTCAAACAATGTATCTGGACTAGATTTGTTACATATGTTCATTTTTTTAGATATGCCCAGGTAACTTTCCATTCAGCTTCTATTTACATTCTTGATACGTGCACGATAAAATAAGATTGGTCAACTTGTGAGTTTCAGAATGGCCGACTCATGACGTCATAATCAATATGGCGGCGCCCTTGGACTGGAGGGCAAAACAGAATAGGATTTTGCTATCACTACGCTATCAGAAACCTGTACAATTTACACATGAAGGATGGCATCAAATGGAACGTGATGTAGTATGCATCTTTGAGGTTGACAATCTTTCATATACTAGTACAACGTATCTTTTCTTATGTCAGACCGTAGACGAGATTTAGATAGCCCAACTTTGCTTCCTTATGTAGGTCACATCAGACACCGTGAACGGCACGGTGTACACGTATCCCTCCACCAGCACGGCGGTGACGGTGAAGCGCCTCGCTGCCGCCACCCCGCCCCTGGGAGGGACGTTTGACGTGTCGTTCAAGGATAATGTTGTTCCAGGTAAGTTGTGAAGTTCACGTTCAAAAACTCAAAAAGATTTTCAATTTATCACTAATAAGAATTTGTTTTAAAATCCGTTATCTGAGTGGCTAGGTAAAACAGAACACAATGGGCAAAGTGAGGGAAAGTGAGACTTACTCAATCCAGCGAACACGTGACTCGGTGCATGGGCAACGGATCGACAGTTGCGGAAAGCCTATGGCTTCCCCCGTCTTTAATCAGCGATGGCTGTACGGCCTTGGTGTATTTCTGAGTGCAGTTAGGTAGATTCCATAACAACGGCACTGGCGGAACTGTATAATTCTGCTTTTGATGTTGTTCACCCTAAAGATGAAAAGTTAGTGAGCAAAATGATATCACGGTCCTTTTTTTTTCAGATATTCCCTCCGACGTCTCGGCTTCTGCTTTCAAGAATCTTCTGGAGCAAGTCGGTGGAACGGGAAAACTGTCGGTGTCACGAGAAGGCTCGTGTTCTGGATATACATGGACCGTTGGATGGACTTCTGTCGGAGGAGACCAACCCAAGCTACTGGTCTGTATAATTAACAAATATTTACGCACAAAGTATGTTCGTGACATTACATTTTTACTGTGAATGATGGTGCTACAGTTTGAATGATGCGGTCCTAAACGTGATGAGCCTTGGTGAGGGGACTAAAAAGCTAAGTCACGTTTTGGACCGCATCATTCCCAGGGCCATCTAACAGTGAGGCACATGTAGACGTATATGTATATGTACTGATGTATTGTCCAGAGCAAGTAATGCAATGAAGTGGGGAGGGGTCATACTGTCTCGAGCATGTGTCTTTACCTTTCTTACACATTCAAAGATCTTCGATCAACATATAAGGGTGATAATGATCAAAATCTAGCTCATGATGTTATGAACATTTGTATGGGAAATCCATTATGCCATAACCTTGCGAATATCACATCCGCTAACCCCACAGGTGAACACTAGCGGGTTGACCGGAGAGGACGTGTCCGCCACCGTGACGGAGACCAGGGAGGGCGGCCTGTTCATCTCTCCCGTCACGGGAGACTTCCTAAGGACGGTACACGACAAGCCGCAGGTACAGGTCACCATCAACCACGTCCCGTCAGCCTGTGCGGGAAACTGCACGTTCGAGTGGACGGCGGACAGCACGCCTAGTGTCAACGGTGTCAATCCGTCAGAAGGTATGGTGGGCTATAGAAGGAGTCTAGAACCTATTACTTCATGTGACTGAATGGTTGTCGAACTGAAAGATCGTAATGCAATTTCACACAGAAACGCTTGGTAGAGTTTTATTATAATATTCAGCCTCGAGTCAGTGGTCGCCACCATATTGACCTGTGACGTCATGGTCGGCCACCTTGAAACTGACCAGCTGACCCATCTAGCTTTTTTACAGGAATGGTCTTTGAAGGAATGGATTTTTTTTCGGTCAAAAGCCATATGGCTGAATAGACCTTCCATGCTATTCGAATAGGATCCAAAGCATACATGTACTGATAGAAAAAAAAAACAGGTTAAAGTTGAACTTGATCGACACCAGTCTGTTTCTATATATTTCTATCGATTAGCAATAAGTATCTTTTTTCTTTCATTCCGTAAGGTTCTTTTCATGCAGGGACGTCCATCACTATTTCTGGGAGTGGATTCCTACCCAACACCGACAACAACACAGTGACAATCGGGGGCGTGGCCTGCGAGATCACCGCGGCAACGGAAGACGAAATCTCGTGTGACGTGCAGGAGAACTCGGGCGGGAGTCACGTGGTCACCGTGGAGGTTGACGGGAAGGGTTTGGCCAGCCACCCCAATAGTACCTCGATGTTCACATACACGGCTGACATTTCGAATATCAGTCCAACTTCGGGGAGTCTTGGTGGTAAGTATTAACCATTATCAAGTTAGGATTTTTGTTGTGCTACCCAAGGTACCTTTCGAGATGGAAGGATGCCTACTACCCAATGTACACTGCGTGTCCCAGCATGCAATTGGGTCATGGAAAGGTCTATTGAATCATATTGACTTGACTGACTTGACTTTTTCAAGGAATCGGTGTGACCGAAAAACACAACCTTTTTCCTGATGTTTCACCTCAAGTTGACAAGACGATGAATGACGTTGGGAAGACACATTAATGGATCTTCTATCTTATCTGTAGGCGGTATGCAGTTGACCATCAGTGGCCATGGCTTCGGACAAGACTATGTACCTTATGTAGGAGGTCAGCCGTGTGCAGTGGTGAACATCACTTACACCGACATCACCTGCACCACTCCATCAACCGTAAGTACTTTTAGATTTACTCACAGATCATAATTTTTACTGTTTGATTGAAGATCCATCTTTTGTAACTTCATTCATTCAAATCAAATCAAAATCATCACATAGAAAAGTTAACTTGTTGTAACATACCATACTGTTTTGCTGCAGTCTTCAGCAGGTAATGCTACAGTCACAGTGTACCAGGGTGGTAACCAGACTCTCACCAGTCCCACAGACTTTGAGTACGATTCCGCCTCAACTCCAACCGTCACAGCACTCAGCTCCAGTCTCGGCACTGTAAACGGTACAAAAAAAACTTTTTTTATCTTCTTTGATCATGATGATTTCATCATGATTCCATAGCATCCTCTTACAATATATCGTAGATATGTACGACATCACATAAGTTCAGAGTCACAACAATTCACTTTGAAGTCTCACATAAGTTTTGAAAGCACTTACAAAGTATTGGGGGCATGGTTACGGGTACGTATATCCCTGTACACGTGTAGCCGATGAAAATGCTTAAATCGTCCGTTCCTCTTTTCTTACTGCAGGAGGAGATGTCATTGTGATCTCGGGGACCAGTTTCGGGTCCACGGCTTCATCCGATGACGCAGTGAAAATAGGCGACGCCGCGGCAGAGATTCTGTCCTATAACGACACTGATGTCATCATCAGCCTACCCGCGCAAGGTCCCGGATTGTATCCCGTCACGCTGTTCGTGAGTGGAGGTGGCTTTGCCGATGTCAAGTAAGTGAAAGCCCAATGTTGCTTTTTCAAATTTTTCAACTCTTTTAAATGTAGCATCTTTGATTCGGCCTCGTGTATCTATCTATGACTCATGTCTCACGTGCCGATGATACTCCTTACGTTTCAGGACAAACAATATTTCGGGCATTCGGTATGCACTCAAGGTCACCAACGTCGTCCCAAGGTCAGGGTCGTACCTCGGAGGTACCCGCGTCACCATTGTTGGGGAGGGCTTCAGTACCGACAACACGACCGTGGCGTTTGGTGACGTCAGCTGTGACGTCACCTCCGTCAACTACACCCACATCGAGTGCGTCACTGCCTCCTTGGCGAAAGTACACGAAGTCGACAACATGGGGTCACATCCAAGTGAGAATAGTTTTATATTTTTTGGCGACACCTCTGAGGCAGAGCCTTATCTTTTGGCGACGCCTCCCTATAATAATTCGTCATACACAGGGCTTTGTTATACATTCATTTAACATTTCGCAGTAGTTGCAAGCTTCTTAATGTGTTAAAAAAAACGAAATACAAATTTCTTCCAATTTGACGTTTTGGATATATCCTATTGTAATAGCTTACGGTCGAGGGTACGCCTGGAGCCACACGCCGTTGGACGTACATCCAGGCGACACAGTCCGCTGGAAATGGAACACGCCCGGGTCCGCCACGGGAGTCGGTTACCTGGTGCAGCAGACAGCCAGCGCGGACGACACCAACTACGACGGGCGGGGGTTCAGGAGTGGGACTGTGAAAACACGATCAGGTTAGTCATAAATACGCTTTTAGAAATAAATTATCGTTTTACCACTATATTGCACTGAACAATGCACAAACATTTGTTGCTTTTTCTCATAGCGACCGACATTGAATCATGACCGAGAAGAACGTTTACTCATAAAGTTGATTTTACAAGTAATCAGAAATGCTATGCTAACATTATGTTGAAAAAATATTGTAAAGGGGCTTTGGTTGAAAATGTACTGAAGACGTTCGTATTTGCTGTATATGTAAAGTAATGACCCTTTCCCTGACTGTTTCCAGGTGTGTTTGAGCATGTCTTCACCGGAGAAGGCCTGTACTTCTACTCCAGTGGACCTGTGGACCGTAATGGAAATGTGAAGATGAAGGGAGTCGTGAACGTGGTACCCTATTCTGGCAGTGTACAACAGTTAAGCCTGGCTGTCAACGGCTACGAGGCGGAATACGACGTCAACTCAGGTTGGTTCCTATCAACCACAACCTCAAGACGGTACCTACCGCCACCCTGATTCATCGTAGACAAACAGCACTTTTACCAAAGGATTCTAGTCAAAAATGATGTGAAACTGTGCAAAAACAAAACTGTAGTTAGTGAGACTCAATAAAGAAATTATGTTTTTATATTAAGAATAATGTAAATACTCCAACATAATTTTCCTTTCTTGATTCTTCACAATATCTTCAATACTGGGTTGTTTGTATAAAAGAAATTTGTCTTCATGTGGTTACCACCAGGTGTTGCCGATCCTGTAGACAGTACTGCGTGTGCAGGTGAGACAAGTCAGATATCAGGCTGCACATCTGCAGCCCCACAGGCGCCCTCAGGGGATGATAAGTTCTTCTTCACCTTTGACCCTTGCCGCACCCCTCGGATCACCTCCATCAGCCCCTTATCTGGCACCATGCGTGACGTCATCACGGTCAATGCGTCAGGACTCGGCTCAGACAGCTGTATGAACAAGGTGACGGTGGGAGGGTACCCGTGTTCGTGTGAGCTGGTCACCGCCGACTCCTTGTCCTGTACTATCGACCACCAGGTCGACATGCCTGTCGCTACTTACAATAACATGGGGCTGACAGTCGACAACAGAGGAGACGGTCTCAACTCGCCCCTGACCGTGGAGGAGAGAAGCTTCGTCCTCCTGCCAAACGTCGACTCCATCTCGCCTGATGTGGGCTCCATGGTGGGCGGCACCCTCGTCACCATCACAGGGTACGGCTTCACCTCCCCCGGGATAGACGCCTCGGACATTGACATCAGGATCGGCGCCTTGAAATGCCCCGTCATAGAGCTCACGTACAACCAGATCGTCTGTGAAACGGCACCCATTAGTCAAAACAAACGGTCAGCAAGCAGTGAGATCGAGAGGGACATCAGCATCACAATGTCGACAGGTGGTGGACCAGTGAATTTTGCCTGCTCGTCCGGCAACTGCTCTTTCACCTACTCGGAGTCTGCCACGCCTAAGGTTACAGACGTCCAGCCTAAAGAAGTATCAGGAGCCGTCACGCAGCTGGCCATCAATGGCTCCCTATTCGGAACCGATCCTTCCATGGTGTCGGTTGCTGTTGATGGGGATGACGTTTCCTGCAACATCACCACCATCACGGACGGTTACATCGAGTGTGACCTTGGCCCTGTGCGGGTTGGAGTGAAGTCCTTCTCGGTACACGTACGCGGTAAAGGGACAGCGGATTCCTCCGTGTCGTCACTGGAAAGTTTGGCCACCATCGATGACGTAACACCGTCAGAGGGCAGCGTCAACGGCGGGAACACGGTAACCATAACGGGGAACGGATTTGTACCCGGCAACACGGCTGTTCTGATTGGCGGAGAGTCATGTGACATCCGTAACATCACACGTCTGCAGATCGACTGTGTGGCACCTCACGGAGTGGAAGGAGAGGCCCTACTGCGCGTGACATCCGACAGTGTCCAGTACCCACAACAGCGCTACAACTACTCCGTGGATAACACTGCCGAGGTTTCCGGCGTGTCTCCATCAGCGGGGAAAACCGGAGATACAATCACCATCACCGGAAGTAAATTCGGTAGCGACTCTGGTGATGTTACAGTTACTATTGACGGAGTGGAATGCAGGTATACACTTCTTGATTCATGTTGTATTTTTGTATCTCTGTCAGGAAATAACGATTATAGAGGCTTGAAAAAAGCATATTCAAGTATAATTCCTGATTCACAAAACATTTGCCTAACTGTATTGTGCCATGTACCAATTAAGCACTTCGCTCACTCGGTGGTTTGGTCCTTGATTACTACACTGGCCAGGCGTTGTCACCATAACCACCGATGGAAAATGGGTCGCTAACGCAATGTTCCTGTTTCATTTCCAGCATCACGACCTTCTCCAGCTCCAGTATTGAGTGCACGGTTGGCCATCACTCAGCGGGAACCTACGAGGTCATTGTTTTCCTCAGCGGTAGAGGATTGGCTACGTCATCGCTGGAGTTCGAGTATCAGCTGTCCGTCACCTCCATCTCTCCCGCGGAAGGTACGTCATCAAATATGCAAATCTGCATCACGAAATGACCGAAGAGCTTTTTTCATCATGCTTGCTTGAACGTACGGGAATCTAAATGAGTTGCCAATTTGTGAAATCTCGTCATTGTTGGCAGGGCCTTTTAAAAGCACGCACTAACATGACAAAAAGGCAGTCATTTGTGGCTTAAGAATAATCTTCTAATTGGCCGAATAAATGGTAAATTAACGTACGTGACCCCAGGGCACTTTGCATGGGTCTACAGATAAGATCTTTGATTAGGTCTTGTGCACACTGAATGGCAAGATATAGTTAGGATCAGCTCAAGTGGAAAGATGAGTGATACCAGAAATAGCCAGAGAACGCTTGAACTATCATTGCTCAGTTGAGTGGAGACATTGTCTCATCGGTGTAATTTTGGTGCTACAAAAGACTCTGCGCAACCCATTAACTGTAGTGGAGATTAGAGCTAAAAGGTGCCAACTTGCGATAGGGGCACAGTGTATGTAAACCTAATATCTACAGGCACTATACAACCTTGAAAGTAGATCTGTAAAATTAGATGTAGATATACATAGCATATTTTTGCCACCACTTTGAACTTATCTTGTGTGTTTCTTCGATAATAAGGCAGAGTCTGTTGGATTTTGCAGGTTACTACATGAATTCAGTCCTCTATATCAAGAAGTGACAAAGTATTGCCTCTTTTTCGAATTTGTTCCAAACAGGGAGTTTTGGAGGCGGTCAGGTGTTGACCATAGATGGGACAGGGTTCGATCCTGAGCTGACCGTCGTCACCGTTTGCAACAAGACCTGCGAGCCGACGGCACCACCCCAACCTAGCCAGCTTACCTGTAAGGTACCCGCAAATGAAGGTAAGAACATTGAACATATATGTCTAAACATTTTAGCCTGGATGCCAGGCTTTTGGAACTAGTAGTAACTTCCTTGCCATTAAAACGACTTGCCATAACATTGGAAAGGCTTGCCATAACAGTAGAAAGTTGAGTCAATGATAGCGTACAAAGGTTGTAATACTGCGGTCCGGTTTGTTCAGATGTGTCCTCTGGAACGCTGGCCTGCGATGTGACGGTGTCTGTCGGAGCGGAAAGTGTCCAACAGAACGCCGCCTACACCTACAGGAGCAGCTTAACTCCGGTCATCACCGAGGTGTCCCCCAGGCGCGGGGGAACTGCCGGCGGAACAACGGTCACCATCACGGGAACCGGCTTCGGGTATGTACGTCAGATGTGGGTGGATTGACAAATAAAACATCTAAACCTCTCATAGCTTGACAAAGCCTCAAAGGTTACATGTAATAACCGTATATTTTCTTACCAAAGGGCAACGGCTGCAGACAATAGCGTGACCATTGCCGGGAGTGAATGCATCATCCAAACGGCGTCGACTACACAGATCGTGTGCGTGACGGAAGCTCATCAAGGGTCGGCAAAAACCAAAGTCAGGGTTGCTGTCGACGATCAAGGAATCGCAACGCAGGTAAAAGAGTGGAAGCGTAACTTTTCAATAATCCTTTGTGCGAAGCATCATTGATCATGTGAGTGTACTGATAAATGCTCATTAACTCTGACAGTCACACGAGTTGACCTGAAACACTTTTCTCTGACCCAGGATGACGCAGATTACTGGTACATCGACCGCTGGTCCTCCGTGTTTACCTGGGGAGGAGGACCTCTCCCAGAGGCGGGGGATTTTGTCATTGTCCCGGCGGGACAGACCCTGCTACTCGACACGGACACACCCGTCCTGAAGATGCTGCTGATAGAAGGTTATCTATTGTATTATCTTAGCTCCTCACATAATCAACTAAGCATAGTTTGGGTACCGAGATCTGTGTCACTGACTTATGACGAACCTTCATTGATGCAAAGTTTGGGTATAGTTTGTTCAACATCCAAATATCTGTAACCTCAGGTGGCGAGCTGATTTTTGATGAGCAGAATGTGGAGCTTCAGGCTGAGAACATCCTCATCACAGGTGGAGGGCTTTTACAGGTGAGATGTTAGTTTATGGCTAACTATGCCAGAGATATATCGATAGTTGTGCTGTATACTTTCAAAGCAGTGCATCTGGCCCCACTCGTTAATTAACTTAACTGAAAATGCTTCCAATGAACATGTTAATCGACCGAAAGTTCTGGATGGTACTTATGAAACATCAGTGCAATGGACAGGATTAAAACAGCCTTCCCTTGACTCTAGGTTGGTACAGAGGATGAGCCATTCCAACATAAGGCCATCATCACCATGCACGGCCACGTCAGGTCACCAGAACTGCCGCTGTACGGAGCCAAGACACTGGCTGTGAGGGAAGGCACGCTGGACCTACATGGTATGGTTATGCATATGAAGTTCGTATCATATTACATCCACTGCCCTGTATGTCTTCTGGCAAATGTAATATTGCATGACTTTAAAGAACTTCTGCCACTGACCGTCAATTGTTTTGTTTTAGGTAAACCCACGCCCGTCACCTGGACATTCCTGGCAGACAGCGTGTCTCCAGGTGACACCACCTTGACCCTGACTCAGTCCATCAACTGGGAAGTGGGCGACCAAATTGTCCTCGCCACCACCGGGCACAGGCACACACAGAGACAAAACGAGGTAATGTAGCTCTACAAAAACGCCAGTTCCATTGATAAATCAGCATCACAAATGTTCTGTACTGCTGTCAGTAGTAGTAACGTCTTCCTCCTCATATATTCGATGAACGATGTATTGTCTATTACCTTTTTACAGGTGAGAACGATTGCTTCAGTGTCAGGTGACGGCAGGACAGTGACGATCACCGAGGGGCTGCAGTACCGGCACATCTCGGCAGTCACGACGTTTGCTGACGCAGGCGTGACCCTGGAGACCCGCTGCGAGGTCGGGCTGCTCACCCATAACGTCGTCGTTCGCGGATCGAACCACCGAGAATGGAACGACATCATTCCGAACTGTCCCGCAGGTTTTGATACAGGTAAAATAACATAACAAAGGATGTGTACATCCAATACAAGCCAAAACTAACTGAAACTTTATTCTATTGGCATAACGTCATCTGATAACGAAGTTTTACTAATCTTATTATCTGCTAACTGGCAACAGTACCTCATGTTCTCTTAGCTTTTGTCAATGATGTCGGCATTGGTGTTCATGGAAGATACCTTATGGTCCTCAAGAAACAAGTCTAGACACTTGTTTGTTTGTTTGTTTGTTTGTTTTTGTTTTTGTTAAGACTATCTTATGTAACATGTTCACAGGGGAGTTTGCCACCCAGACGTGTTTCCAGGGCCGGTTCGGTGAGGAAGTCGGTACTGACGAGTTCGGCTCACATATCATCCTCCACGGGCGGGAGATGAACAAGGGCCTGGTCCTGGGCAGACTCTCACACATAGAGGTCACTCATGCTGGGCAGGCCTACCGTCATGGCAGGTAGGGACCATCTTTTAGTTTTCATGTCGATATTTTATTAATCACGACTGGTCAAATGTCTAAACCGGACAGCTGGTTCAGATTTCGTTGAACGTTTCACTTGACGTCATCTGTCTGTCCGCCGACACGCTGGTATCTTCATTTGCATACTTAGTGAATCACATGTACATTTTAAGCGTTTTCAGACATCTGGTCTTCAAGAACTCTATTGAATGTCTACAATTCAAAGACGAGAATACCAGAGGACCACCGTATAAAAATTCCGATAGAACTGATAAACGCCATGTTGAGTTATATGATCAATCAACATGCAACTAGGGACACCAATATGGCCGTCAAAGCCTGTCTGCTTCAATGATATGGGAAGTAAGAGAAACGCTCTATCAAACATCAGTGGTGAAGCTCTAATACCTCCTGTTACAGATATGCCATTCATTTCCACATCAACGGCAACATGAACGGTTCGTACGTCCGGGGCTGCTCTATACACAAGAGCTTCAACCGAGCCGTCAATGTCCACCACGTCCACGAGCTTCTGGTCGAACGCAACGTCTTCTACAACATCATGGGAGGCGCCATGTTTCTGGAGGACGGCATTGAGACGAATAACGTCTTCCAGTATAACCTGGGTGTCTTCGTCAAATCAAGGTTAGAACATTCTATCGGAAACTGTATAGCCATGCTTTATTTTATTATGAATAAAGGATTGAACTGTATCTGCGTCAAATCAAGGTTAGAACATTTTCTTGGAAACTATATAGCCATGCTTTATACTTCGAGATATGAATAACGGATTGAACTGTAGTTTTCCAGCACAATTGGCAAATGGACGCAGAAAGTCTATGGCGTCCTCCGTCTCTATCCAGTGTTGGTTGATGTAGATGTCTTCTTCTTTCTCTTGACATTCGTTTGCGTCTTGATAATGTTGCAGCCGTTCTTAAAATCATTGTCAATTTTGGAATTATAAACTTGAACTTGTCTTCGACACTGCAGCACAAGTCTGTTGAATGACGACATCACTCCTGCTGCATACTGGGTAACCAACCCGAACAACATCTTCCGACACAACCACGCAGCAGGCGGCACGCATTTCGGCTTCTGGTACCGCATGCACAAACATCCTGACGGGCCCTCCTTCGACTCAAGTATCTGTCCCCAAAGGATTCCAGTGGGCGAGTTCTACAACAACACCGTCCATTCCCAAGGCTGGTTTGGAATATGGATCTTCCAGGACTACTTCCCAACAGAAAACGGAGCCTGCAGCGGAAGACCGGTACCCGCCAAGTTCTACAAGCTGATCTCCTGGAACAACGAGAAGGGAGCGGAGTGGGTCAACTGCGGCGCCATCCAGTTCATCGACTTCGTCATGGCTAACAACGAGAAGGCAGGGATCGAGATGAAGATGGTCAAAGGGACTGAGTGGGGAGAGGAGCGGGGAGCTATGATCAAGGACGGGTACATGATAGGTTACGTGGACGCCCTGGCTGAAACGGCAAGCACACAGTGCACCACGGCCGGCCTCGTCCTGCCGCTCAGCAACAAGCTGACTGTCAGCGGAACCGATTTCATCAACTTCGATCGCAGCAGCTGTGCATGTCTGGCATGGGCCAAAATAGACGGTAAATACTACTAGTAGTTTCATGTTAAACACGTTACTTTCATGTTGTGTTTCAATATTTTACATGGTATGTACTTGTGGTGTGTGTGTGTGTGTGTGTGTGTGTGTGTGTGTGTGTGTGTGTGTGTGTGTGTGTGTGTGTGTGTGTGTGTGTGTAGTTACGCATTTAGACACACAAGCGCTCACAAATGGAAAGCAGTTAGTTTAACTATGTAAATCACCTCACCTCCACCAAGGTACAAGCGGAGACAACAACGGAGGCTGGACGTACCGCACGGAGCGTCTCCTGTTCCACGACGCTCCCAACCAGGTCCGCTTCAGGTGGGAGCACGAGGCGGTCGTCTATGATATGGACGGGTCACTGACTGGTAAAGCTGACGGCAAGGTATGGACGTACAGCATCGTTGTTTCTGTAGATTGACAGGGTTGTGGTCCGAATTTCCCTGGGTGATAGGATATGAGATCGTGTACTGTGTAATACTGAGATCACAATTCCCACACGGGACCCGGCCGGGCAGCTTTTGGGAACAAATGTACGTTATAAAAGACAATAAAACACAGAGAAGTTTTTAATAACAATCATGGGCACCACTTCCGTATATTCTTGATATGAATTGTTAATCTTTTGTTCATACAAACAGCCCGGCCGGGCCCCGGTTTGGAATGTGACCTAAGCATAATCATGGTATGAAACATGAACTATGGTGTAATACTAGAGTAAGTTACGTCTTAAATCGTATGAGTAATAATCCATTCTATGATGTATCTCAATGGGGTATTTCCCAATAATCATACATTTAACAGTTCGAGTACATTCACTTTTACCCAAAACACGAAATGTATTTGTGTTTAGGTTACTCCACATAACCCCGCACTTCCACCGGAGTGTGTGCAGAACAGTGCCTACAGTGTAGGACAGCCGGGATCGAAGTGCGAGCCATCCGTCAACTTCATCCGCTTTTCCTGGAACCTTGCTACCCCGGCTACCCTGCGATACAAAAACGTCCTGTTTTCATCACCGTATGGGACTACCGTTGTGCCTTACAGGTGCGGTATATGTGTTGATACATACTGTAAAGGTGACATACATACATTGATGTACTAATAGGTAACACAACAACTGAGAGAAACGTGTATTGTTATATTCATACCACTAGGGCGCTATAGATTTCAGTCCTCATCATTTTACACGTCATGGCGTCACATTCTATAGCTGTGGCCTAAGCGAAAATTTTCTGTTTATGTGATTACGTATCTATGAAATGACACGACACGTGGGATATGTGTAACACACCCTTGGTATTTAAAAACCCTTGTCCTGTGGGTCCCATACATAAAGTACTCATATAGCGTCCTGTATATGCACGATATGGCGGCCGGGTATTTCTCGTGCAACGCATCACATCGCAGCGATACGCAACAAATGCGGAAGTAACTACACCACCGCGGGGCAAAATTAAAAAAAAAAAAACAGGGGTCTATGACCTGATTAAGACATGAAATCATTGACAAATACTGTGTAAAAAGTGCCAGCAGGACAAGGGTTAAACGTTGACGTGCATTTTATACAGGAGGAAACGCATGACGCACAAGGAGGGTTGGATGGCGATACTACAGACTGGAGTCAACCACAACTTAGTCTATGAGAACGTCGATCACGTCACCAACATCTCGTACACCGGAATCTTCTACCAGCTTCCTGTAAGTACCATGAAATACTAAACTTTCCCTAGGAATGCGACAGCTGTTAAAATGGGAAAGAAATAGAACTAAAACAAGAAGGAGGACATACACAGCAGGACCACGTGACTACAATGTACTTATGACAATGAGCCCACAGGGTGACAGCACCTGGGTCTCTTCAACGACATCGACTATTAAACATACTTTAACATTTATGTGTCATTTTAAAAATGCTGTACATTACCATACACAACATGTATCTTGAAGTCTTCTTTGATGATGCATAAAATATATGGCATATCTACTTAAATTTTCATCACAACAGCCGGACCAATATACCATCGTGTACCACAACTTCACACAAAAGCCCGACAAGTTTGCCATCATACCTGGACAAGAGACTGAAGGGTCTATAAACCCTGTCACCTTCGAGGACAACCAGTATGGGGACTGGTACTTCGACGTCAACACAAAGTTCTTCTACTATATGAGTAAGTTTTTTTTTTATATTAGTGATATGTGATTACAATGCAGTGTAGTGTAGCGTTACAGACAATCGAGCAATTCACTATTCCATGTCACATTCCAACATCAATAACAATAACCTAACGTTTATAATTATGTGACATTTCATGCATGGGTTAATGCAATATTTGATGAGTTAATGTACTCTATGAATTCTAAATAATAAGATATTAATACTTTTTAAAAACTCATTTATCTAATATTTAAGTCGTCATGATACTGGTTTCTACCCACAGTTTCCGGAAAGACGTCCTCGCGGAAGAAGCGCGCCGTGCCAACGTCGTACACCGACCGGGCTGTGCAACTCCGAGTGTACCGGTGCTTCTTCAAGGATTGTATCCCTCCGCCGCCGCCGCCCGTGGACAACAGCTCCACGCCTGTGGACATCCACATTGCCAGGGAGCGGCCCGCCACCTTCCAGCGGTGGTCGGACGCGGCTACCTGGGAGGGCACGGAGGACGGTTGGGGTGGGAACTTCGGTAGTAGCCGGAAGAAGCGGCAAGTCTACGGAGCACCTGCTGACGGCGCTAATGTGAAGATTCTTTCTGGTGAGTTTCTGGACAGAGTTCCTTTGGTTTGGTGGTAGAATAGCAAGTAGTATGGCAAAGGCATGTGGGGAAATCCCATACACTGTTGTATCCAGAATCATGCTGAGGTACAGTTCAGGATATTCCAAACGCATCCAGAAACGTGCCTGTAAGAACGTGCCTGACAGGCTGTTGCTACACCACATGTAGTTTGATATTCGTGATGTACTTTACAGGCATCTGGTCTTTACTAATACAGGACTTGTAACGTTATGTTCCTTCCAGACAAGTGGATCGTGGCCGATGTTGAGCGGATATCCCTGAACAAACTCTTCATCTACGGCGTTCTGGAACTGGACGACGGACCTGACAAGAACTACGTGTTTAGTGCTGTTCAAATTCTAGTGCAGGTTTGTTTTTCTTAATTTTATAGCACTAGGGGATCTTACGGTGCTTTCGTAAGCATTTTTTTGTTCATCTTTGTCAACAATACTAGTAAACACATGTACAACCTTTTTAGGGTGGCCGTTTGATCATAGGATGGGAGGACAACCCTTTTCAAGGAATGATCCAGATCATACTGAAAGGAAACCATCAGACTCCAGACATACCCTTACCGAATGGCCCAAATATGGGATCAAAGGCACTTGGTTGGTACCTCCATTTCTTTCTTACTGTGATGACAATTTTGGAAGAGCGACATATGTGTACTATTATAGCCTAAATGAATACTGTAGTTGAATTGAAGTCGAGGATTGATATCTGTACCTAAAGCGGCAAATAGAATCATTCAGAGAACTAACATTCCGAGTTGTTGGTAAGAATCGGCCACGAATTCCTGAATTCTTGGTGATATTTTTTTTTGTTGCTGTTATCTCCATATAGGCTGTTTCGGTGGCTGTGACATCCATGGTAAAAACCGTGTGGTGACCTTCACCCGTCTGGCCCAGACCGGTAACGTCGGTGACAGCACCATCACACTGGTGAAGGCCGTGGACTGGGTGGCGGGTGACGACATCGCCATAGCAACGACCACCTTTGACGTCTGGCAGACAGAAACGTTCAGAATCGTCAGCGTGTCAGAAGACACGAAAACAATCACATTGAACGGAACCCTTATGTACAAACATCTCGGTAAATAGTACCTTCTATAATTTTGTACTAAATTAGACTCCCTTTCGGACTCATAAATGCCCCCGAAACGTTCCATTCATTTGTGTATTTCTAGTCGGAAGGTCATTGATCTAGACTGGGTGCCAGACCCACGGCACACTAGGCTCAAAGTTATCCAGTGTGCACATAATGTGCAGACAGTGTGTAGATAACCTAGTGTGCTGTGGGTCTGGCACCCAGGCTATCATTGATCGAGGGGATACACTTAAAGTGTTGAATACGAAATATATTTGTACGCCATTCTGTGGTGGGTTTGTACGTTGTATAAAGTATACGTGTCGAATGACTCCATGACAAATGTCTAATATTTTGTATTCAGGTGAAACCTTGACTTTGGCCGACAACCAGACTATCAACATGGCGGCTGAGGTCGCTCTTCTCACCAGAAATGTCAAAATCATCGGCGAGGACTACGACGAACTGTTCGGAGAGTCCTTCGGGGCAAGAGTCATAGTCGGGACATTCTTTCAAGATGGCGTACAATACCTAGGTAAGAACTACAATAATAGTTAATACACTGCATGGCTTAGAGAGTACTTATAACAATCAATATCAACGATCTTAAAGAAGATCGTTGACTAATGGAGAAAGCTGACCCGGATTTCAGAAATACAAAACGCGTTTTGATTACTAGTATTCATCAAACATATATCTGTAACTATAATAGTACTTGACGCAAGTGTGGACAATTATAATGTCATGCATATCCAGACACTAACTGCTACTTCTTATACACCAGGCTACGGTAGATTCGAGAACGTTGAGTTCTACCACACTGGCCAGGAGGGCTGGATTGACTTCTACGACCCTCGCTACTCTCTGGCGTTCCTCGATGTGGGGGAAATCTTGGATGACTACACGGAATCTTACATCCGGAAGAACACGTTCCACAGCGGCTTCTCTCCCGCCATCGGCGTGTTCGGGACGCAGAATCTGAACATAGACGACAACGTCATTCACCACACTGTAGGACAAGGTGAGTAAGCTTGGAAGAAGTAAACATATTCTGTTTTACTACTCAACCACCACTTGCGTTGGACAGGAGCTATGAACCGTCAGCTTTAATCACGTCCTGTTTCTTGATAGGCTTAGCCGATAAGTAAACACATCTTTTGATATTTTGACAGCTATGCGTGTCTGGGGAGTCGACAACAAGCTTCGTCGCAACCTGGTGAGCCTGATCATCTGGCCTGGCTCCTACCAGGACAGGGTCGAGCCGGAGAACGTCGACTGGACGGCCGCTATCGAGGTGTTCGAGGCCACCAGTATCGTCCTGCAGGGGAACGTCGTGGCAGGCTCTGAAAGAGTCGGATTCCATATCGATGGAGAAGTGTGCAGTGGAGGGACAGCAGAAGCCTGGTAAGGCCTTTTCGTCGAGAAATGGGGCAAGGGAACATACTGCCACCCCGGTACGCCCTGGGTGGGAGGATGTGGGTTGTAGGTTGCCAGGAATTTGCACTGTGTATGAAACAAACGCCATGTACAATACCTCCACTCCCTACAATCCAGGCCATACAATTCTATGACCTAATACTTTAATACTTCGGGAGGGGGGGGGTCATTGAATTTTTTTTCTAGATATAATTGCTTTCTATTTCTTTCCCGGGTAGGTCCAACAACGTTGCGCACTCCTGTATGGTAGGAGTTGCAGGTTTCCCACCGGACGGTCTCAACCCCTGCACCAAAATCTCCGGCTTTACCGTCTGGAAGAACCACGACTACGGCATCTACTTCCAGTCCGGTGTAAAGGAGCTTGTCGTCGAGAATCTCCTAGCTGCTGACAACCAGGTACAGTGAGTTTGATCTCTAGTTTGCTTCGATTTTCAGTCTTTTGTAGCCTATCTACCTCGCTATCTCATGGACCCAGTATAGTCTGTAGGGTGTTTCACGGACCCCAACCCTGCTAATTAGCTAAGTATTGGACTTGATCGGATCTGTTATCGGTTATATTTACTTACTTACGTTGTCGTACTAAACGCCCTTGTAGGACCAACCTCGTCAGTTTGTGAATACCTAGATGTGACAGATGTGATAAGTGTTTATTGTCTGAAACTGTCTTTTACAGGTCGGTGTCTTCCTCATGCTGATCGGGCCAGGCTCCAGCGGTCACAAAGCCGTGGCCAAAAGCATGACCATCCGGAACTCACACGTAGTCGGCACAACTCCGTTCTTTGATTGCAACACCGATGTCACCCCGCCAGACGACAACTACAAGATTGGCTCCCAAGTAAGAACGTAAAAACTTGATTCTTGCTTGCTTTCCGTGTATGGGTAGTGATTATCTGACCTGTAAGATATTCCTGCATAAGATGCTGAATTAAGTACGAATTATTGTTACTTTTCATCATAATCATCTTTACTTTTACAATTATATAAATAAAAGAGATTTCTCCGGAATGACCTGGGAATTCCCGGCCCGATGATAATGATGAAATTAAAGAGATACATGTTGGAGTGTGAAACCATGAGCATTGATATTATAACAATTGTGCTTAATGATTTTAACACTGAACTGGTTTGTCTAGTCACGGGGCTGGTCGAGGCCAGGAGGCGGGAAGGTCGGCATCAGTCTGCCGCTGTTCTCCAGTGGGGGCAACAATGCCCGCGTCAAACCTTTCAATGGAGAAATGGCCTACTCCGCTCTGTACGGCATCATGCACATCAGAGGTGAGTACCATGATTACCATCAGACAGATATGTACATCTACACCGTGGGGGTAGTGTGGCGTATCTGCAGAGTGCTCGACTCAGAATCAATTGGTCCCGGTTTCGAGTCATGACATGCCATCTTGTGCCCTTGGGAAAGGCACTTAACACGACTTTCCAAACTTAACTTAACTGAAAATGGCTTGTCCTGTATTTATCTTCTGCGTAGGTGGCGGCATAAAATACGTTGATTGTTCCGCCATCATGTGTGGTCATAAATTGTTTGAATATAAAAAAGATATGTACATATAGATTATAGTGTCGACGAAAAAATTTACAACAAATGTAGCAGACTAGCAGTCATTTCATAATTACCTTAGAAATGGACTGTATTATAGAATGAAACGTTGCATGCAATACATGTCGCAGCATTGCCCCTGAAGTGATGTCATCTATGTAATCTTTCCCCGGTTTTGTTCCTCTAATTTGTCGTCTTACCGTACGGCCTCCTTTCCTTTAGATGTGGCATTCTCCAACTTCGGACCTTCCTGTGCTGGCGAGGACGTAATCTTGATGACTAACCCTAAACAGGAGGACGCCGGATTTCCCACAAAGCTTAGCGGCATTACTCTGCATGGCATTGCTGAAAAGAATAAGGCCTTCTTCTTACGTCCTTCCGTTGGGTAAGTCTCGAGCTAAACAAAATATGTGTCTGTGCGTTTGGTGTTCAGTACCAAGGACGGGTATGTTTTGTTGTGTGTGGACAGTGTTCAACACCAAGGACAGTTCTAGTTTCTATGGCTCTGTTAATAACCCTGTATTTGTGTGTATGTGTGTGTGTATGTTTGTTTGTGTGTGTGTGTGTGTGTCTTGTGCATTTATACGACAACGCAATGACTAAATGTTTGTACTTTTCAGCAAAATCAACCCGGCCGACTGTGTGGACATGGAGTGTGACGCTAAGAAGGAGACCCTAATCGACGACGAAGACGGGTCCTTCCTGGGTTCGGTTGGGACTGTGATCCCCGAGGCGGAGTTTGAGTGGGACGGGGACCGCCGGAGGGGCCTGGGAGACTACCGCATCCCGAAAATGATGCTGACTGATACACAGGGACGCAGACTCGATGTTAACGTCGTTGCTCCGAACAAAGGTAGATATGGGTAACATTATAACTCAAACGTGTACTATCTTATGGAAAGGATTTTAAAACTTTTTCGAACACATGTACAAGAAAAATCTGGTCTTCTTGTTGCTCAGAATGGGGCCCTTTCCGGAAGTGTGACGTAAGCACCAGGTCAAAGGTGGTTGAAAGTCTGTATCGACCCCCGACTCTGTTCGTTCTGTGGCGGACGATTCTTCCAAGAAATACTGGTTGTGATCTGATGTTAGAATTGTATTATTCATGTCGTTAACTCTGGTTCCAAAGCGATCAGGCTTTCACAGAAACCACTGCACTATCTTCTGTATTTCTAGACCTAAAATATCTTTTCCTCATCTCAAAACAGGCATAGTTCGCGATGACAGCTGCACGTACAAGTCCGATTGGCAGGCCTGGAAGTGTCACGACATCGACTATGAGATGCTGATCATCGAAAGTATGGACGCAGACACCGAGCTGCGGCGCCTGTCACCAGTCGCCCTGCACACGGGGCAGTACGTGGACCTTGTGAACGGCCCTCAGGACCATGGCTGGTGTGCAGGCTACACCTGCCAGAAGAGACTCTCTACTTTCTGGACCGTCGTTGGTCTCGGACGCCATTATGAGATATACTTCACAGGTACGTACAGGACAATAAGATTTAAGATTCAAGATTTAGTGTATAAGTTCGAGTGAGATTTCTCTTTTGCCAGCTTTGCAACTTAAGTAACACATCTAAGATATACTTTTAAGAAGTAAATCGGATTATGATGGTCGTCTTTGCGAACTATACAGGCACCAGTCCTCAGAAGCTGCGTCTGCACTTAATGAACGCCAAGCCTGACCAGTCCATGAGGCTGGGAATCTACTACGCAAACCCGCAGCGTCTGGACATCTACACGGGTGGAAGATACATCATGCCGGAGAACGGGGCCTATAACGACGCCGGTCAACTCATCCTTCTGGTAAGACATCTCATTTAATGTTAGGTAGCATAACAGGAGTACCAGAGTTTAGTTGGGAGCTAGGTATACATGGGTGGGATTAAAGCCGAGTATTGTATTCCCAGAAGTCTGAAATCTCCGATTTCTTATTAAGAGATTGTTTAGAATGAGTCTGCACTACCTTGTGTAAATCGGCTTATTAATTAATTAATCCGTCATACTATATAATTAATCCGTCAAAGAAAGATTAAAACCTCTTCTACTTGATTTGTTGATTTCTAATGGTTTTGTGTCTGTTTTTCCGACCACCAGGAGCCGGAGACAGAAGGCCAGTACTACCCAGCCATAGATGGAGCCAGTGGATCCAACTTCTTCGACAGACCCTGGCAGAGACTGTACCTCACCATCAAGGGCAGCGAGCCAATAGACATCAAGGTAACATTCACACATTAACTGTTAGGATAATGAATTTTATGTGATTTCAGTAAAGATGCCAAACGACTGTCTGACAAACTACATGAAATGTCATTTCACATGTGTCTAAAAAGACATTGGTGTATTTTCCAGACCTCACCTGTCCTGTATGTCACCTTCGGCGTGCCGGCCATCACAGTGGATGATTTCTTCGAGGTGAATTTGCGCGCCAATCTTGCCGCGTACCTGAACATCCCTGCATCGAAGATCCGCGTCGTCAACGTCGTGAGAGAGGACAGTAAGAGAAAGAAGAGAGATGGTAAGAAAAAAATCAGTAGTTGCTTCTATGGGTACAGAAGTTTTGTTTTGGGTGGCCGACTTGTGAGTTTGCCTGTTTCATGTCCTAATAGCGACTTCCCGGAAGTCTGAACTCTCCGTTTTCTCCGTTCTCATGTGAAATGATATTCTTTTTTACAGCTTAGTGGCTGTGTACATATATAAGATATCTAAACATTTTTGTCTATCTGTGATGCATATAGGCACCACGAATGTTGAAATAGAAATCACCGAGCCCCCAGCGAATGACACCAGTACTGCAGAGGGTGTGGAGGAGGAAAGCCGGAGTGACCTGCAGGTTGCCGCCTCCACCATCGTGGATTCCACTCAGGTGAGGAACGGTATATTTACGGCGGGTAACAGATATGTTTGCATAAAGTTAGTAACAAACAGTTGTCAATGATAGATTGTAGTACCATTGTACATGCGACAGTACCAAGGTCTAGATCCAGAACTTAATCATCTTTAAAGAAAGCATATTATCCAAGACCTTATCCAAGATCATATTATGTATGAGATCTTTTAAACAAGGTCTTAGAATTCGGCGATAACATGTTGAAGCTAAGTCTGTAAACGATTTTCTTGCTTAGTCTATCTACTGAGCCTGGTCTACCGTACATTTTCTTGTTTGAGGTAGTTTACTAGGCTTAAGACCAATGTATGTTTTGATCATATCATAGCTTGGAACCCTTGGTGACGAGATCGGAATCCAGATCACGAGTCTGGAGATCGTGGAGCCGCTGCCGCCGCCCAACTCCACGGCGTGGGAGGAGGTCGTGCAGGAGGATCCAGAGACTGCTTCTCAAGCGGTGTCTGTTCAAATTCCGACCAGAATGGAGGTGAGATTTGCTTATTTTTGTTTTCCATCGTCTATCAAACTTCTTTGTACACAAGCAGTGTATAATTACGTTAGGATGGCCGTCTGACTAGAACTACTTTGTACTGCGCTAGGTGTCGCTGTTGCAGTGTGAATTACGCGGTCCCAAACGTGACTGTGGTTGTATCCCCCCTCATCACCGTTCTCATTTACATTTCAGCTGCACACACAGCCAGAGCCTCAGCATGAAGGGTCTGAGTTCCCCGTCCAACCAAAGCTGCAAGTGTTCGATGGCGCAGTAAGTCGATATCGGAGATTTCTAATTGCTATAGAAGTTTGAAGTATGTGACTTTTGCGGACTTTGTCAGTTTAAATGCAGTCTAAATTAATATTATTTCCATGGAATTATGGAATTTTCATGTGTATAACCCCATGCGTTTTGTATTCAATTAAAGAATTTGTGGTTTTCAAGAAGGAATGTATCCTTGCCTTACTGTCGTCCTTTTGTTATGTCCTAAGGGTAACGTAGTGATGAAGCTTGGCACCCTGGCGTCCCCTTGGGAGGTCCAGGCAACTATTCGCACCGGAAGCGGAAGTGACTCTCGTGCCCAGATCATTGGTGACAACGCTGTTTTCACGAACGGCTGGGCGAACTTCACCAACCTGGCTATCTCTCACAGTGGACAGGGATATATCATCGATTTTATCATCGTCAAACCACGTAAGGCACTTTTTTCAATGCTGTACCAAATCAGTTTTTGTGAATTGTGAATCGGCATAATGTTGCGAAACAACATCGACTTATAACCAGATAAAGATATAGAATAAGCCATCTCACTGTTACATGTGCAGTCGTGATGCACTGTAAGTCTGAGGACAAAGACCAGAGGCCAGTAGGGAATATGAAATGAATTTTTTTTTCAGAAAATGCATCAAGCTTCCGAGCAGCATCCAGTGCAGTTGAAGTGGCCAGCCGTCCACTGTCTGGTAAGGTCTTCCCAATCACTGGAAACATGACGGTGAACGAGCCATTCACACTGACCGTGGGCATCACTGACGCGGTCACAGGCCTGGAAATACAGGACATCGCATGGAAGGTTAGTCTAAGTTTGTATTTTACCTGACTTTCTGAATTTTTCTTTCCAAGAAACGAATCTACATGAGTGTTTTAGTTAGTTTTGTAAAGTTATATATCAACAAAATGATTTAATTTTTTTACAGGGCCATACCTGGACTTGCAGTGTTGAACTCTACAAGCCCTTCCCTCAGGACGGTGACCTGACCGGAAGCACAACAGTCAACTTTGACCCTTTCACCGGACGTGCGACCTTCACGTCCATGGCAGTGACCCAACTCAGCCAATATTTCTTCAAGTTCAACATCAGAAGCTCACCCAGTGGGTATGACGTCATGGTCGAGTCCGAGCCAATCACGTTCTTGCCTGCAGATTACGTCACGCCTGATGAGGAGGACTCGGCTCACGTGACCATGCGGTTTAGCGGTGACTATCAGCAGGTGGCTGCCGGGAAGGAGGGATATCTGGGGTCGGCTCTGTGGGTCCACATCATGGACACGTACACAGACGTCACTGTCGGCAACTTCAGCTTCTCAGAAGGTACAATTTCAGATTTTGTGGATAGATGATATGCTCAGCTGAAAGTGCTGTTTGCATATAACGCAATATGTTTTCAGACTTTTTCAGCTAGTGTGTGTGTGTGTGTGTGTGTGTGTGTGTGTGTGTGTGTGTGTGTGTGTGTGTGTGTGTTTCAGTACTGCAATTCCTAGGTGTTTTGTCAGAGAAAGCAGTGCAGTGCGTCCTAGTCCACTTTTTTTGTCTAAATAATTGCCATTAATTCTGCTTTAGTTATCGTTGTACAAACTTGTATGTGTACCAAGTCTTGTTTTTCTTAACAGTTTTGTTATGTGTTTGTTTTCATCTGTTTTCAGGTAGCGTTGTTGCCGAGTTTGACATGAAGGGGACGACGAGTGGAGTGAACAACACTCTAGTTGGGTTGTGGAATGAAGTGAAGGACGGTCTGACACTTACAGTCGGTGGCAACACTCTGCAAGCCCAGACCTCCATGCTAGTTGACGGACAGGACTACTACGGCATGGACGGAGCTCCACCTGTACGTTAGACTTTATCGTTATCATTCGTACTTAAAGTTTTTTTGGCGACGCCTCAGAGTTGGTGCCATTTTACTGTTATCAATAAGACCATGTCGACCGTGTCCATCGGTCATCAACAGGAAGTTGACCTACGTTCCTGACGCGCACTGATCGTCGGGATGTGTGACGTCAGGAGCCGGTCAAAGGTCCCAAGAAGTCGAAACCTGTTGCGGTCCTAGTCCTAGTATAGTCCTGCCACTTTTTTTGCCAAGGAAAATTGGCGCTATCGCTTTGAATGGTCACGATCTTATAGAACCTGACTAGTTCTTCTTCACATCATAATCAATATTGTTCTGACTTTTGTATTCACTTGAAAAACACATAACCAATAGACAAATTACTGTATCATTCATGGCACTTTCAAATAAGACAGTTAGACGATACCGATGACGTTACATTTTCCGTCACGTCCCAGGCTGCTCCAGCGGCCGCTTTCCCCGTCGGTGCGATCATCGGGGTGGTTGTTGTCGTCATCATCGTAGCAGCTCTCATCGGCGGCTTCTTCTACCTCAAGAAGAGAAAGCGTGAGTTGTTTAAACGTATACAATATATACAATATACAATGTGACATCACTGTCATTCTAACTTTTCCTGCGCTGTACTTAGCTTGCAAGAGCATAATATAATAAGGTCTTTCATTCAATATGTATCTGTAATATTTCTTTGTAATTTCAGAATCTCGTTCCAAAACTCTCCCCGTGGAAGAAGACTCCGTGGTGAAACCCGGCTCGTCCGGTGATTCGGAATCCGGTCTGGGCTCAGACAATGGCTCTTACATAGAGACCATCGAGATGGGAGAGGACATTAAGAAACCTCCGGTAGAACTGCCTCCTCTGACGTCCAGCAACCCTCAGCACTTCGGCAGGGGCGATCGCGAAGTGCTGCCACCCATACAGAACCCGCCGACGTCCAGGCCTGCCTCGGCGGCGTCTCTCCGCCCAAGCACCGCCGGCAGTCTGCAGACGTACCGTCCCGGCGGAGCCCGCTCCGGCATGCCTGATGTGGAAGTGACAGGGATGAGGACAACCGCCTTCACTCTGCCTGGAGCCACTCCTCGAGGATCGGTGGATCTAGGATATGGTGAGTTTTTACTTTAAGTGGGTTTGGGTATCTGTGTGCAGCAGACAGAGGAAGTTGATAGCACGTGGGTGGGGATAGGCAGAATGACAGGTCTAATAAGGTCTGGCCGGGAACCCGCAAGCATTGGGAATTCAGGAAGACGAGGAATTTGGAAATTGCCGAAATCAACAGATTTCAAAGTGTTGAGACAACCATCACTAGCTGCTATACTGCTCTATACAAGAGAAAGCTAACCATCCAAACAGCGGCACCTAGCGGGAAAACTAAACAAAGCACAAACATGAAAGAAACTACAGAAGGGTGCATTTCTAACCCAAGGTGAAATATCGCTGATATGTTTTATGATGAAATGCAAAAATAGCTGATGTTATCTTCTTTTCCAGGGGATGGGCGTGTTCCGGTCGAGATCATCGCTAAGGACCACAACTCGCGATTTGTCAAAGTCGGGCTGCACGCCGTCAACAAGGCTGGGTCTTTGGAGGTGGGTTAGGGAGTACATAATCAACTTGACCTCAAGAAACCAAAATTGTTTTGGCATCACATGCACAGAGCTGTTCAAGCTAGCAGTACAGCAGGGAGCTACATGTAGTATAATTGTATTCGTGTGTTGCATTCAAGTTTCTCGTATACTAGGTAGGCAGAAACAATATTATGTACCATTTTGACAGTCTGTTGTGTGCCCTTTGGCATGCAAGGCGACTGCTTTGCCACTAGAGCCTTCTCAACCATCAGTCCTTTCAGCGTGGACAGACTTAAAAAAATCTTCGCTCACGAAGACAAGCCAAAACATCATGACTACTGTTTCTAATATATGACTTCATGTTTTGCCAGGAACTCCGTGGTGAACTTCAGCAGGGCTTCCCCATGCTGAGGACCGGGCACTTCCTGTTCCTAAACGGGACGATGACCGACGTGATGCCGCAGGCCCGGGAGGAGTACACCGATGTGAAGGACATGGGAGACGGGCCCATCCTCCTCAAACTGTACTGAAGATTCTCCGGCTTTACAGACAAGGCTTGTTCACCAAGAAAGTGATTGAATTAGCTTACCATCGGCTTGTATAATAGAGAAAATGCGTACAACTAACTTTGACTGCCATCCCAACTGAAATCACTATATTTTGTACGACTGTAGACTTTTAGTAGTATTATTTTTACATTAAAAGTAGTATTTTTACATCACGTAGATGTTTTAATATTATCAATATTCTAGCACAACGCACAAAACCGTCCAAGCACGTATCACAACTATGTAAATGAGATTTTATCAGTCAATTCAAAGAGACGTAGTTTTCCTAGTGTGTTTTTATATACTAGTATAACGTATTGTAGATGAAGTACTAAGAGTAATATTCTTTTGCGGGGGCATTTGCATTTAATTTGTGCTCTTTTATTCTTCATACCTATTACTGAAGGTCGAATAGCGTTTCCATCTGAGTGGTTCTTTTTCCATTACGCATATTATATCATCAAATATAAAAAAAAACATAGATTGTGTGTGTTAGATCTTACGTAGATTTATTTGTACTTTTAAAAAACATCCTTGTACTTTCTGGTATTTTACTATATTATTTTTATGTGGTTTTACAAAGAACATGATCTCTTGATATACAATGTTCTATTTGGAATTTTGAAATACAAGTATTAATTTTGAATATATTCTCCGAAATAAAAGTCTGTGTATTTTGTACTTATATATATAATGTAGGACGCTAATAATACTAGGACGCTTTCCCTTCTTTCGCTAGAGGTATAGGCATAACGAAAGATCTGTTTGCATTTAGCGGAAATTTGGGTGTTTTTCATGGAATAAAGGGCTATGTTCTGTTTACTTTGGCCTTGTTATGTTTATGCTCAATTCCTTCCTCTTTTTTCTTCTCCAAATAGTGACCTATATGACCTGTCCAATGACGCCTGTCACCATGGTGACTGGTGTTGGGTTACATAATGTTGCAATTTCATGGTCTGCTCTGCTCTGTCACCATATACTAGGAGTAACGTTACATTTATGCGAATGTGTTTTGAGTGAGAATTAACAGAGCAGACCATATGCGAAGGTTAACATTTATATGCATTTTCTTTGCAAATGTTACCTTTCTAGTTCAAAATTCATTGTATAAATATTAGCCCAGCCTTTTGTGTTGACTTCATGGCTCCTACTATAGCATTTTGGGCTATAACAGGATGCCTAGACCTGTTTTTATTATTTTTTTCGCCCTGTCGCTTCATATTTTTTCTGAAAAAATCCGAGAACAAACAAATTAAAGATGATTGTGAAGATAGAAATACGAATATAAAGGTGCCCTGTAGCTGCATTTTCATCCATTTTTTACCGAGATTGACATCAACGTTAGTATCCTTCGTACCTTCGTAATTAGATAATCTAATCGTCCTTCTTCGACACATATAAGTGCCTGGTACCGAAACGGGCCGTCATTGGTCGTCATAATTAGATTATCAACGTTACATAAATTATGCACGGCCGTTCTGCACACCTGTGTAAAAACAATTTTGGTACGGTCCATCCGTTCAAAATGGCGCTTTCGTACGACGGGAATACTCTGGGCTGATTTTTTCACAACTTTCTGGGTACTTTTAGACGTTTTCGTCGGTAGAATGTTTTAGTAAATGTGCAGCAGACTGTTTGGGAGTTTTCGCTGTGGATTTGTGCCGTTCTGGTGATGTTTTGAGGAGAAAATGCGGATTTCCTGACCTGGCGAATTTTGGAGAAGACAAAAATGGCGAGACACGTGGTATGGAGACGACTTCGCTCATTGTTTCAGGTAAACCAGTACATTGTTTGGTTGACATTATTCCTTAGCAACTAGTACGAACATGTTAACATATTCCGTAAGAAATGAATTATTTCTGTATTAGGTAGCAACCGTTCCTAATTTTACATACTGATAGGCTTAGAAAAGTCCATCAAGTTGCCGCGTTTTCAACAACATTTTCAACGTGTGGTGCACTTGTAGTGTAGAGTATTAAATGTACGTGCATGTCTTTTTAGTCAGTTGTTCAGCGTTTTGTGGTTATATTTGTCGAAAAAAATTCTGTATGACCAAACCATTTTCTCTCTTTATCTCCACGTGGTTCAAAACACCTGTTGGAATGTGGCCGTGCACATATCTAGTTATTTTTCCCGCCAAAAATTTGCGTAAACAAGATGGGGGCCTCAAAGCTTCAAGGCGCCGAAATAAATACGATACAAAACGGCTGAAAGTCGAGTTGACCATACTTTGAAATACGTTCTTCATTATCATTTTCAATGTATCGTTTATAATTTAAAAGCTTGTTTGTTTCCTTTTTAGAGTAATTCAGTAAATAGTAATGAAACCCGAGTATTTCTGGCGCAAACACTACAGACGACTATGTTTGAAGGTAGCAATTCCTGTTTTCAAAATATTTTGCGCCGAGTTTTTTCGTATTCCACATAAAGTTTCAGTTGAAGGGGTTTGATTTATTTTATTGTTGTTTCTATTCCCGTTTTTATTATTATTTTTATTATTCCCGTCATTATGTAGAGTTTTCGTCGAGCTATGTGTTTGTTTTAAAGTAAAGATATTTAAGGTGTGTGTGTGCATTGTTAGTTTTTAATTTGAGACAAGTGTCCATTTTATAATGTATGTATGGTTAGATGAAGGCTGATGCAGTAGTGAGAACTTCTGTCTGAACCTGAACCAGACCAGATGAGTTGAAGAGGAATATCAGGCGAGAAAAACTCAATTATGCATTTTACCTACCATTTACTTAGTGTCAGTTAGTGTTATTTGAGACAAGTGTGTAACTTCTACTGTCTGTATAGTTAGATGGCTGCTGACTGATGCAGTAGTGGTGAATTCTTCTAAACCTGACAAGAGAAGATTGGACCAGACCAGGTGATTTGAAGACCGACAATGACTCTCAGGTGAGAAGAATCTGAATTCTGCATTCAACCTACTATTTACTTTGTTATTTGAGACAAGTGTGTAACTTCTAATGTCTGTAGTTAGGTGGCTGCTGACTGATGCAGTAGTGAAGACTACTGTCTGAACCTGACAAAAAAAGATAGGACCAGATCGGGTTTAGAAATTAGAGACACAAGAGCAAGATGACAACATCCACAGGTGAGACAGTGCTTTAGAAGATCTGTTTGACTCTAGCACTCTTCCCTTATGTCTTACGCTTTATAAAAATAACACACATGTAGCAAAACATCTTTAACATTAATTTTGTGTTGCCTTACTTGAATAAATGTCTGGTATATAAGCACTTGTCTACATTTCTAGGAAGAGGCAAAGTACAAGGTCACAAGAGTGCATCTTTACCTGGTAGCTAGTTGTCCATTCATACAATGTACCTGGCATCAATTGTTCTTTTATGAGGTATAATTAGGGTCAGCAGTCCAGATGTTCCTGTCCAAACCAGACCTCAGTCAACAAGCTGACTTAAAGACAGACCAAAGTGAAGAGATTGTATACAGGTGAGACAATATGCTTTACAACTTTATGTTTCTATATGAACATATCTAAGCAAAGGGGTTGTATGATTGAAGGATTTTATCTATTTTATCTTTTATGGTCACTCAATGTTGCCTGGAATTTTTGGGGGAGCATCACACTAATTATTCATCATATCATTTAGGTGTGTCCTGATGTTCCTGTCCTGATGTCACCAGACCAAATGATGTCTTGGCAAACCTCAGGTTGACTTGAAGACACAGTGAAGAGTTTGTACAGGTGAAACAATGCTTTACAACTTAAAACCTTTTTCTGATTTGTTACAAACCCTGAGGCATAACACACAACCAATAATGTGTTTAAAAACACCTTTCCATAGCCAAACACTTTCTACATCTATTAAAGCATTATGATTACCGGTATCTTTGATGGTTAGTCTGTGTTATCTAAGATGTTTTTTGCATCATACTACTGTAACAGTAATTATCCTTTCATCCTTAGTTATGCGTTTCTTGACGTTCCTGTCCTGACTGGGAGAAACTTGTGATGATGGTTGACTTCTGTGTAAACCAGACCAGATCAGGAGTTTGTACCTGTCTTTTCCGTTCCTCTTGGATGTATTACGAACTGTGGGATAACATGCTGCCAGTAACAGTTACTAAACACCTTTAAAAACCAAAATTATTGTACTCAATGTATTCAAGCAACTTTTACAACTTACATGACTTATTCCTGTCCTCACATGTACTTGTATGTTAAGAACTCTGACATGTAAAATGCTACAAGTACATTGTAACATGTTTAAAAGCAGTTTTGTAGAGCCTAACTCCTTCAAAGTCTATTCAATCAATGGGATAGTTGAATTTCATGATGTTTTTTCATCACACTTCTTATCCTTTCATATTGTTAGGTGTGTCCTGAGGGTCGGCTGTCTGTTCTGGGAGAAACCAGTTGACTTAAAGACGCAGAAGGAAATGAAGACAGCGGGCACAGTTGTGACTCACTTGTGAGTATAGTTTATTTGCTCAACAACACACCCATGCTAATACATAATCCACTTGTCCAGTCACTAAAGCTTGCACTTCTTTTTATTGCACAGTATGTCACACTTTTCTAGACTCCTTTTCACATCTTCAAACAATTAGTCCTACAAAAGAGGTTGTAGTGTCTCCAGTATAACCTCCTTGGTTCCACATTGCACTTTGTCATTTGAAATACAGCATGTCACACTTTTATGGATTCCTTTTGCAGCGCGTTGGACCTTTAAATGCAACATTCAGCTACAACTTAACTATGATCATAAACTTGCATGTTGTGTGATATAGATGTAATGTCTTGCTATGCATTAGTAAGGCCAATTGCTGTTGTCAATACATTGACTTTTGTTCCTCTGTCTTCAAGTTGTGGACCCGAAGACCGGATTGCAGCTGAGGAGGAAGAACCAGACTTTGTAGGAAGGGCTGCATGAAAGAAGATGGGGAGGAGTGAGTATGGTTTCTTTGTGAACACGAGACAACACTCCACATGCACACACTTGCACTCACATTTCTCTTTTTTCCTTTAACGTTTATTGTAGCCGGCGACTTCAATTTCATGTTAAGCAACACTGAAAAATTCTTCATATTGTATAGTTGAATGCCAAATTGCCCCTAAATTGTTGCTTCAGACCTTTACACTTAAATTCTCCCGCCGAAAAATTT